TTTTTCAGATTTAAAGAGCTCGAACAAAAACACAGATTTAAAGTGACCAAATGATCCTTTCAGTATACCTTTTGAGATGTTACTATTGTTTTAAGATGTTTAAAAATGCAACCTGCTATTTAATCATCTTGTAAGAAAAAAGGGAAGTCAGGTTCCATCCCTGACTTCCCTTGTGTATATATGTATATTTCCCCTTTTGTTTTTGCACCAGTAAGCTGCTTTCCTATGTTTCCTACACTTCTGAGTTCCAAAATATTTCCTGAATTTGTGGGAATGAAATGAATGGCCAAACTATAGCTTACTAAAGAAGGCACTTTTTATTTTGAGTATTTTGTAGTAAATTTCAGTGCGCTGTTGTATAGGCGAGCGCCTTGTTCCCAGCAGATTTACTTGCGACGTTGATTCAAAGTGTGAGTTTTGTTAGTTCAAATGTGAATTGTTGACATGGTTATCACAAGGTGAGACAAAAGTCGTCGTGTGGAAATAAGGATGTGAGCAAAGATTAGGGCATTTCTTAAAACGAACAAAAAATAACTTGTTAATTTGATTAGTGTGTCTGTGCAGTTACACAGTGAAAGGGCTGAACAAGGATCACAAAGTGTCCCCAAATTTATTTTCTCAAATTTTTTTTTTTTTAAGGAGCAAGTAAATTGGTGCCGTGGAATGTAGGATTGTTTCTATGTACAGATGAACAGCGGGCTGCTAAAGAAATGATCTTTGGAGTTTAGCACAGATGTCAACACCACACACAATGTGAAAACATAAAATTTGGCATTCAACGTTCGTAAATACTGTAACTTTTTTTTTTTTTTATGTCCTTGAGTCTAGTCTCTTTCAAACTGTGGTTTTATTTCCATTATCCTTGGGTGGAGGTACTTAATTTATGAATTTCTTTGCAACAACTTTCCACTTTTTGGCCAGTGAATTATTTACTGGAATAATGTTCAGACACATTTTTGAAGGATGTTTGTTTCCTTTTGTGAAATATGTAAAGAATGCGTTGCAGTGTACACAGATGAATAAACACTGTAAATGAATGATTTGCTGTTTACTCGTATTTTTCTCAACAAAAGCAAATTATACATTTGGATATTTGGTGGCAAAGGCTGGTAAATAACATTTCTGGTCCTATATCACAAAATAGCTAGAGCATTACACAGTAACCGTTGCACTTCAAACATGTCAGTGCATCACAGGGAAGCAGAGTTGTATCTTTTAATAAGTCTTATTCGGTATTACAATATATACAATGCTTTATAATCTAAATCAACGTTGATGTACTGTACAAAGCTTGAGTTGTAGTTTACGTGTCTGATTCTCCGGGAAAGTTGGGATTGGTGAAAGCAGGCTACAACAGAAGAATGGTGCAACTTAGTATTCAGTTACAAAAAAACTGAACCATCTCTTCTTACCATTTACAGTAACTTACCACGTCAACATTTCTGGTTGTTTGTATTGGCAGGGTCAAGCTGCTCAGTTTGTAGCCTCGGACACGAAAGATGTAGTACAACACCCCGACTATCAAGATGAAAATCACAATGGCTGCAATGACGGCGCCAACTATCACCCCGTCAGGTGTACCTGAGATAGAGAGGAGGTGTCACTAGGGCCGTTGTACACACAGTCATACTCGCAATGACAACGTTAGCATTTACTAATTAATGATAAACAAGGATTTGCTTAATTGTTGCCACAATATGAAACGTCAGATCACCAAAGTTGTAATAAATCAGTTTTATGGTAATCATCAAAAACGTTTTCAGACATTTAATTTGAACCTTGTGGTGGAGCTAGAGGGCAAAAAGTCGGAGAGAGTTCGTCTGTACCTGATGGCAATCCATCCGCCAAAATGTCAACCTGCTAGTGGCGTTTGCTTAAATACTTTCTATTGTGGCCCTGGGGACGGTGGATGTCTGAACAATTTCATGGCAATTGATGAAGTATTTTTTGAGATATTTAAAGTGATGGACAGACATTAGGTAATGCACTAATTGTATGGAAGCTGTACTAAGCACATTGTAACGCTTACCTATACCACCTGGATTTTCAGTTGGGAAAGTTGGACCATCTGGACCTGTTGTATAGACTGAAAAAGTTTCACAAAGAGAAGCTGTTAATCTGCTGCTTATCCAATTCTAGCTATTGTTTGTGCTAAATTCTTTGTCTCATCAGAAGTTTGAAGATAAAAGCTGCTCCCTATTCCATCTAGTGGACAAAAAACAATCAGAATCCTTACACTCGGGGTGGCGGCATGCAAAACCTCTCTTCTGCAGGCAGTTGTTGTCATTCCAGCGTCCATCGCTATACATCTCCACACAAGTCTCTTCACCCACATCCCCGGGGTGAAGGGCAGCATTGGGTTCACCAGGAGCCCAGTTCAAGAAGCCCAGAGCAAACCTATCTGTCCAAGCCCAGCCATCTGAAAAAGCAAACAAACCAGGTTCTAGCAGGTATGTGTCATCTTAAATCTACTTCAAAGCTGTTTTCAATTCAAAGTAATCTGGTGAAAAAAACCATTGGCCTCATTGTTCTTTTGACAATTTCTACACTCACACTTGCGATCCTTGGTGAGGCCGATCCAGATGTTGTGAAATTTGGTGTAGTTGAGGTTCCTGATGAACTCTACCTCCGCTCTGCTGTGGATGGACACCAGGTCAGTCCTGGCTTGCAGGCAGTGTTGGCGTGCGTCAGGCCAAGAGAAGCCTTGCTTATTGTTCACGACGAGGTAACAGTAGCGGCCGTAGGGGACCCAGCCTGTCAAACACTTCCCATCACCAGGAGCGGGAGTCAACGGCGGTTTGTCTACGAGTTACATCATCAACAATTCCAATGTGACACTGTAAGTAAAGCTTTTTTTGTGTAATACAGTCACACAATATGGTTTCAAAAGACAGAGGAGAGAGAACCAAAAGAAAAGGGAGGAAAAAGCCAAAGTCAGTTCAGTCAGTGTGACTTGTACCAAAGGTGATCTTGCAGATGTAGGGTTTTGCCTGGTCACACTTGGTGTCATTCCAGGTCCCGTGGAACACAGGGGAGGCATGCATACTAACACAGCCTTCATTCTTGAAGTTAGTGGGCTCATCTGGTCCCCACTGAGTAAAAAAGACTGGCCAGCCATCCAGCCACATGTAGGAGTTATCATCCTGCATTAAAAGACAATATCGGCTTGGGTCCAATGATTAAAGGAATAGTTCACCCATATTACAAAAACTAACTGCTGCCAACGGTGTCTGTCCAGAGTGAGAGCTCTCTCTGAATCGACTCATCTTTGAGACTTCTGCCTCCACTCCAGTTTGATCGGCACAAATACAGTTTCACTTGGTGCGTGCGCACAGCAATTCCACCTGTTAACATATGCTCACTGGCCACTTTATTAGGTACACCTGTACAATTGCCCAAATGTTTGATTTTGGTCAAATTGTCAAATGTATAAATTATATGTTTATTATTGAGATCATAGTTAAAGGTGGTGTTGTACTGGAATACATTATATTCATAGCTGTTCCTAATATTCTGACCTTCTCGTGTAAATAGCTGGGGAGGACAAAAATATAGAAACACTGAATTATATAATTTCACTAAAAACCAACATTTTAAAGAGGATGTGCAGGTGTACCTAATAAAATGGCCAGTGAGGATTCAGTTACTACATTACTTGTTAGATTGTTCAGAAAACACAAGATTTTAAAACTCCTTGTTGAAGAATAGACCAGTGCTTCCTAACGTTTTGGCTTGTGGTCCTTTACAATAGGAATCATTGTCTAACTGGGGCCCCTTCTCATGTTTCAGATGTCTGAGTTGTTGGCAGTTCTACCACATTCATCTTCTGACCCGACCCTTGGTTGAGAACCACTGGACTAAAATACTAAGCTATTAAAACTAAGTCCACCTCAACCAGCTACAAGTTAAATGCTGATTACACTCTTATGTATCAGTATAAACAGTCTAATAATGTCAGACTTGAAAATGCATCAGTCACAGAGGTCAGTTTTCTGAAGAATTCCTACTTTTACTTTTGATACTTTGTGTATATTTAGCTGATTATACTTATGTATTTTGAGTGCAAGACATTTTAAAGTATTTTTGCATTACTGTATTTGAATGTTGGTTATTTATACATAAATAGACTGTTTTCCCATTTTTAACAATTTGTAGTTAAGTTTAGCTTGACTACTTTGCATTACTCCCCTGGAGTCCCTGATGGACTAGCGGTTAGGATTCAGAGCTCTCGCTGCTGTGGCCCGGGTTCGATTCAGGGTTGTGTCAGGAAGGGCATCCGGTGTAAAACACATGCCAAATTTCAACATGACGATTTTCTAACGGGAACAGCCAAAAGTGACAGACTTTGCATTACTCCTGACAGCACCTTGCGCCTGAGTCCAATCCATGCGTCCGCTTTGCCCTGCAGGACCACTCCAGCAACGAAGGCCTGGTCGTAGCTCATGTCGATGCTTGCCAGGTTGCCGTTCTGCTCCACGCAGGCTTTCTGAGCTGCGTCCCAAGTCGCTGGCTCCTCCACTAGCTTGTAGCAGTTCTGGTACCAGGAGATGTAGCCAGGTGGGCAGGGGGTTTTGGTTGGGGGAGGAGGACCGATGCTGCTCGCTGATGTGGAAGGAGATGAAGAAATATCTGTAAGATCTGAACAGCTGTATGTTTGAATTGTTTTGTCATTGCTGTTACTACAAAGGAATTTATTGTAAGAAGAATCCTGACATTTCTTCCTGGAGCAGACGAAGCTCTGATCCTTGTGACAGGCATCATCGTTCCACATGCCGGTCACGTGGTGGTTGTGAGTAATTGCCACACAGTTTTCCTGTTGAGAACAACGAGGTAGCTTGAAGATAACTTTGTGTCCCCTTTTTCAAGCATAGTGTGTTTAGGTTTTAGATCTGTCTCTGTACAATACTTCACAATATTTCCCACCTGCTTTGAACCAATTATATTTAAGAAAAAAAAAAAAAACTCTGCAGTGTAAAGTATTCTTACTGTTCCTCCTGCATTGTTGGGCTCATTCTCATTCCAGTTGGTGTACAGCACTGGGCTGACCCCATCACTCCAGGCATACTGGTTTTCTTCCACGAGGTCTGACAGACCAATCCACGTGGGGTAATGCAGCTCCCTCAGGTAACTAGACACAAAGTCTGCAAGACAGGAGAGGATCAAAAGTGTAGAGAGAACCCTCTCTGAGTTAGAGCTGAACTGATCAATTCTTTTAGATAATAGTTATTAGCTTACCATTCTCATATTGGTTATCAATAACTGCCAAGTCTCCTCCTTGCTCTCTGCACCAGCTTCGGGCATAAGACCAGTTGGCTCTAAACTCATTGCTCTTTCCTTTGAACAAGAAACACTTATTCTTGAAAAGCATCCAGCCTGCAGACAGGAGGAAGAAGGAAGGTTAAAGAGGCTGTATGATACTGGATTTAAAGTTTAATCCATAATAAACAGGTTATGAATATTTAGTTTTTCTAAGGTTAAATAGTTGCTTTTGGTCTTTGCATAGTCTTTGACAATCACTAAAATAAGATATTCTCTGAATTATGCTTTAAAATATGCTCTCCACATCTCTGTTACCTGCAGGGCAGTTGCCCTCCCACGGCTGTGTGGGTGGAGGAGGGGTGTGGACATCTCCAGGGAATTTCTTGCAGACATATCCTGCTTCAGCTCGGCCACAGTTGGCATCGTTCCAGCCACCTTAACAAGCCAGAGTTCAGTGTAAAATGTCAGCACTGGGGAATCGGTTCAGTAAACACGCGCAGTAAGTAAACAGCTTGATATGGCTGTTACTGTCAGATGAGTGGAACTTCAGTACCTTGATGTCTGTTCATCTGGACACACTGTTCCTCCCCATTGGCATCGTTGGGCTCACCTCCAGCCCAGTGAGTGTACATTATAGGGGAACCGTCCACCCAGCTGTGCAGAGAAAACAGAGACTGTATGTATATCACAAAGAGGAAAAACTTCCCAGGAGCAGAACTTAACATTGTAATATTCACACTAGAGGTGACTCATGTTGATGTATGTACATTGATAATGAATTAGTGGCTGACTGAGATGTCACAGCCAAATGTCTTATTTGAATGTAGATATACCAGTTGTCAATCTAAAAAAAAATGTCCTGACATCCCACTAAATGTCCTGTGAGTGTTGTCTTAACGTCAGTTTCACTGTCTATTGAACTGCTGCAGGATTTGTTTCTAATGACCTCAACACAGTTTGCTGTTCAGACATATGCTCAAAAGTACTACAAAAAAACTGGGCTGTGCATGAAAGTAACATTCTTTTTTTGAAGGGGATATTTTCCCTTTGAATTTCAGTTCTAATCACTTAGAAGCACACATACATGTATTGTCCATTTGCCATGCCAGACAGCCTCATTCCGATCCAGGCTGAAGCCACTTGCCCTGTCCCCACCTAGAGGAAAATACAAACGTATTTCACTTGAACACAATAACAAATTTTACTAAAGAGGTAAAAAAAAAAAAAAAAGTTACCATGCTGTTAACATATGCTTGTTCCTCTTTGTTGAGGATAGAGGCGAGTAAGGCCTTCTCAGTGTAGCAGCGTATCATAGCGGTGTGGAAGTCCACTGGGTCAGTGTCGTTGTAGTAGTAACAGATGTTGTTGTTCTTCCTCCAGCCAGGGTTGGGTCCGCATTCAGGAGCTGAGGATGAGAAAATGCATATGAAGACTGGCGCACTGTTTTAATCTACACTGATCCCTGGTGGGTTGATATATTTTATGCAGATTCGGCTTTTTGTAATTGCCATATACTGTAGTCAAACTTTCTTCCTTGCAAGGCAATGTTCTAACCAAATGAATATGTGAGGCAATCTGGGTGTAGTAGGTGCCTCTCTTGGAAGTAAAGCTAGGCCAAGAATAGCAAAATGTCTCTGGTTGCATCTTCTCTGCTACCTTAGCTCTAAAGTTCAAAATAGCTTTGGCAACGGAATAATGAAAACATTCTTCTCTGTGCAGGCAGGACAGGTGCATTGGTGGGGGCACTTTACCTGGGACAGGAGGTGGGGGCACTGGGGGCTCGATGGGATCCTTGCCCTTGCTGATCATGCATATCCAATCCTGGTGAGCATCACAGTTGAGGTCGTTCCACCAGGAGCGGGTCCCGTTTGTGTTGCTTACCATCTCTACACAGTCCTCACGGCCATCGTGGTTGTTTGGCTCCCCTTCACCCCAGTTGGTGTGAGAGAGCGGTGAGCCGTCACTCCAGGAGTAGCCTAGGATGCAGTACGGGGAAAAAAAATCATTAGGTTTTGTGCGCTTACCTTATTCGAATCCTAATTTGCTTGCACGAGGGTCCGCTCCATCAAACACGCCTTGTACCCACCTCCCTCTGTGGGGTTGGCCTTTAGGCCGATCCATTTGCTGCTGGCTTTGCTGTACTGAGACAGGAACACTTCCTCCTCCTCACTGTGGATGCTGACCAGATTTGCTCCTCTGGAGATGCAGTCTTCAAGTGATGCTTCCCAGCTCTTCTTCATGGACCAGTCCACATTATGGAACAGCTGAAATAAATCAGTAGTGGAAAAGTGACCACTTATGTCCCTCGCAGAGACTCATGGTTTTAGCTGTTTAATTCACTGCCTTATGTACCTTGTAGCAGTTTCTGAAGTGAGACAGGCCCGACCATCCTGTAGCACAGCCATGTGAGGAAGGAGGAGTTGGGGGTTTGGTGGGTGGAGTGATGTCAGGCCTGGGCTTCTCACAGATGAAGAGATACTTCTCTGAACACTGCTTGTCATCCCAGAAACCGCCAATTTGACCTGTTGTCATTGCCACACAATTCCCATCTCCGCTATCTAGAGGCAAAACGGACAACAGTGTTTTCTGGCGTGTATATATTATTGTGTCCAGCTGATGTTAGGGTTAGTGTTTTACCAGGTCTGTACCTGGCTGGCCTCTGTCCCAGTGAGTGAAAGTGAGAGGGGCGCCATTGTCCCAGAGGTAGTCCACCCCTCCACCTGTGGCCCCGTGAGCACGCAGGCCAATCCACCACAAACCAGTCTTTCCTGACAGCATCACTGTAAAATGTGCCTGCTCGTAGCTGCAGTCAAACACAAAAAGAGAAGTTATTCCACTCAGCTCATTCTGAGCAGAATGTGTGTACCAGTTCATGGCAGGTTATCCAATAGACATTTCACTTAAAAAGACAAACATGAGCCTGCCGGTGGTGCTAGAGGATCATCCTCTGGGCATCCTAAAGGTCTTTACAAACTTGGATGTCAATCTATCAAATAGTTGTGGTATTTCAGTGTGGGCCAAAGTGGTAGATGGACTGACTGACAAATTGGTGCTGTTTTCATCCAACTCACATGTCTCCAATGTGCAGCAGGAAGCTGTCCTGCTCTTTACAGAAGGCCTTAGCCTCATTCCAGCTCCTGGTGGTCTCCTCCATCCAGTAGCAGGAGTAGCCGTATGCGTCCCACCCCTGACACATTAATTATAGAGACATTAGCCTATTACAGCCCACTATCCTGATACACCACATGCAGCATAGCTCTCACCAAATAAGCATTAAAACTACTCTACATCGGTCTACCTTTGAGCACAGAAGCAGCAACATGAAATACTTGGTTGGCATGTGTCCTACCTGAGGACATCCGTACACGGTGGGTTTTACAGACGGCAGTGGGTAATGTGCTTTGGGCTTTTTGCAGATGTAGGTATTGAGCTCTGTACAGGGTACATCGTTCCATCGGCCAGTCTGGAACAAAAATGAAATGAACAAAAATGACTACAACTCAGAGAAATAAATGAATTGGCTCAGTTGTATTTTTTTTTCCCAACAGATGGTAGAGTTTTTCTACTGGTGTATAAATGCATTTTACTGGTGTCTTTTTCCATCCAGCTCACCTGGTGTAACATCTCAACACAGTCCTCGTTCAAGCCAACGTTGTTGGGTTCCCCTGGAGCCCAGTAGGTGAATGTCACTATGTGTTCATCAGACCAGGAGAACATACCGGGCACCCTCAAGTCATTCAGACCAGTCCACACGTCGCTGGTGGCTTTTTTAAAAAAAAAAAAACCTTTTCAGTTCATACATGCCATTAGATGTTTACACAACATTATCATTAGTCCTAATTTATCAAAATATGAATCGTACCATTTTCATGTTTTCTTTTTATTCTCTCAACCAAAATCTACACTGAGTCATATTTAATTCTGTCATTCTGTTCTATTTAAATCTACTGTACATCCTTCCTACTTTCTTTGCCCTTAGAGCAGCTTTCACCTCCTCCTTTTCTAAATCCGTACCCAGGTACAGGTAGCTTTCCAGCCAGCTCTGCTCCGTCATTGACATGATGGATACGAGTTCAGCACCCAAGGTCCTGCAGGTATGCCGGGCATTGTGCCACGTCTTTTTGTCTGCAGAAGGTTTGTAGCAGAATCCTCCAAACTCATACCAGTCAGGCCCTGAACATCTCAGCTCTGTAGGAGAAAGAAATAAAATGTAAGTGAGAAATACATCTGAAAAACCTTCACTTTTAAAAACATGTCTGCTCCGAGGCAGTAGATTCGTCTAACGGATCACAAATACATCTTGACTCACCTCCATCTGCAAAGTTGTAAGACACCTCGTAGTTTCCATCAAATCTGTAGAAATTAAATTAGTTATTGAATCAGGCCCCATGGACAGTTATGCTACACAAAGAAAAAGGGATGCAGTTTGAAGCCCAGCTACTTACTGTAGTGAGGTGATGCCATTCCTTGTGGAGCCAGGATAGAAGTTCTGTCCTGCAGCTTTCAACAGAGTGCAGTCTCCTCCAATGTCATTCAGTACCACTCCAGCATGGATGGCTGCTGCACAGATATTTGAGTCCTGTTAAAGACAACAGACAGTGGAGAGACAATTGATAAAAGCAGAAAAAAGTTATTCAATACAGAAATCTTTATACAGATAAGACACTCATTCACATACCCCACGATATACTGTGCTGCCGTACACTCGGTAGTATTCATTAGCACAACCTGCTGGACAGTGGACACTGAGGGATGAGCAGAGTCATAGCATCAGGATGCATGATGAACAGAAAATGTGGGGAAAAAGTAATAATGTGTAAAAATAATTCAGGTTTTACTCACTTCATTCGATCACTGGCAAAATTGAAGTTGGGATTGGCATCGCACGTAATCGCATCTATTAAACCACACGTTTTCATTATTGACTGACCGTCACATGCCATAGAATCACAGCAGCTGTTGCCCAATGATAGAATATAATTTTTGAAATCTTGACCTAGACTTTTTCTTACAGTCAGGTGTGCATCCTAAGACATCGAAGCGAAGGCCTGCCTCACTGTTGAACTCCACCGGGATGATGCGGATGTACTGAGCTGACACAGGTGTACCCAGCAGCTGAGTCTCAGGAGTGTTTCTGTCAACTGAGCCTGGGAAAAACTAGACAAAGAAAGTCCAGACTGACAACCTGGTTCTGATCTTTCATAACTGAGTTTAAACCAGGATGACTGGTGGTAGTTGCAGTTATAGTCTGCTTCCTCACCTGTCCGTCAGCTGTGTAGTCAGTCCAGGTTGTTCCGTCCATACTGTGCTGGATCCTAAATTTGGAGAGCCAGTGGTCATTATGAGGACAACCCTGGACCACGATCCCTGTTACTTTTCTGGTCTGGCCCAGGTTTACCTGGATCCAGCTTGAGGTTGCTGGAAGAGGGAACATTAAATGTAGTGCAAGACTGACCAACTTGAAATTAAACATCAAATAACAATGAAGGTTTTTTTTTTTTTTTTTTTTTTTTAAAAAACCCCCCCCCCCCCCATCTAACCAGCAATTCGCCTGTGAGGAGGTGTTTAACCAGAACAGATGGCATTAGTGAAGAGGCCCTTGGAGGAGGAAGCAGAGAGCTGGGAGTCGGTGATGTTTCCATCCTCGACACCCAGACCATGCAGACACACTGAGAACAGCCAAATCACAAAACTTTAGATGATTTGACCAATTTAGCAGAAGTCTAGGAGAAAAACAAGAATAAGAGCCTACCTTTTTGTTCACAGCTATAGACAATCTCGAGATATTTGGAAACAGTGGGACAAGGGTCCACCTCCACATGGGCGTACGCGAAGCAGTATTGATGATTGTCACACATCTTTCTAACTGAAGGAAGGACACCATCCACTGTGCAGCTTGCTACAGAACAGTGAAATCCTTTGAATCAGCATACTTGCATATTATTCTAATATGATTTGCATTGACCAGTTACCAGTAAAACGTAATTGCAGGTGAACATGAGGATTTTAATGATCAAATGCCAAGAAATACAATAAAGCCATTTATCTGTTTTTATCCTCTGTGAATGTAGTGACTAATGTGCAGCACCACCTCCTGAGCCACCCAGGTGTGGACAGATGTCGGCACTCTTTCGTCCATAGAAAGCAGACTGGATGTTAATTACACTTTCCTCTGGACAGTGAATGACAGCACTTGAGTCCTCGCACACCAGTGCTGTCATAAAACCTGCAATAGGAAGATGTACACATCAAGCGTTTACTGGACAACAAATTAACCGTTGATGTCATTTGTACATACGCTGCCTCTAAAGGGCCACGAGCCCTAAGGAGCTCCCTATGTACATACATAACTGTATTGCAAATGTATTTAATCTATGAAGGAAGTCCAGTCCAGCACTGAAGTATCATTACCATCATGAGGAGGAGGAGGCTTAGGTGTCCTTCCTGAAAGAGGAAACATAAGTATAGGATCATTTATCAATACTTTATATAATGTCTTACTTTTCATTTTGCAAGTTCAGTCAACACAGTTCACCTCTCCGCTTGCAGATGTATCCTCTTTTGTTCTCACAGTTGTCATCGTTCCAGTAGCCGTTGTTAATTAGTATAGACAGGCAGTCTTCACCATAATAGTCATCTGGGTTACCTTTAGAGGAAGATGAAGCCAGGAAAGAAAATTCTGTTGTTTTGCAAGACAGTACTCTTTATATGTTTTGTTTCTGAATCCATTCTCTCACAATATGTCTAAGTTAACCTGCACTCCAGTGGATGTATCTGAAAGGGGCGCCATCTGTCCACGCCCAGCCGCCTTCAGTGATGGAGTCATGACCGCCCATCCACAGAGAGATCCCCGTGGGACTCTGCTGGATCAAACCTGGCAGGAAACAACAACATAAAAATGGATAAAAACCAAGTTTAATTTAAAAAAAAAAACAAAAAAAAAACACTGTATGGATGTGGTCTGTACCTGTTACGTACAGGTATTCTGTATTCTCATAACCTCAATTTTATTCTTCCTAACTGGGCCCTAATACTTAAAACATACATAACTGGGACAAACACAAAGACTGTAAGAGATGAAATATGAAATATAATCAGAACTGTTACATTTTGGCTTCTTCAAGTAAAGATATACAAAGTGCACCTTGTATGAAGGCCTGTTCAGAGGGATCAGTGATACTGATGAGGTCTCCTCCCTGGTTAACACAGTCGGCTCGAGCCTCTGCCCATGTCCTCATTGACAGGTAGTTAAACAGGTAGCAGTAGTCGTTAAAAGGATCAGGTGTCCAAGAGCCACATTTATCATTCCATCCTGTAACAAATACAACAGTTTAAACATGTATAAAGCCAGACGAATGCATGCCATGCTTGAAATGTAGTAAAGAAGTTAACCTGGTCCAGACGTTGGGGGCTGGGGAGGAGGGCCTAGTCCCTTGCCTGTGGAGAGACAGCGCCCAGAATAACTACAAAATACAGCATGAATACACAACAAAAGACATATGAATGAAACATACAGCACATCAGACCTTTTTTGCAGATATATTCCCTTGAGGTGGTGCAGAAATCGTCATTGAGTTTCCCAGGTTCGATGTGATTTATCCCTCTGATGTGCACACAGTCCTCATTATTCTGCCAATTGTCTGGCTGGCCAGATGCCCACGGGACGACGTCCTGAGATCCAGACAAATACAGCGAGAGTGAGAGGGTGCAGCAATTTGCTTAATGAAATGCAGAGGAATATTTATTATTATACAGATGTTTGACACACCTTTTGAGACTTTTGCACCACATAACAAAAAGAAGGATGAATTCATTTTCTGGTGTCAAACTGGTTCATATTTTGTCACTTACTGCAGGAGTTCCATCGGTGTATACAAAAGTGTTTTCAACGTTGATATCGTTCAAACCGGTCCAGGCTTCACCCGGCAAGTGAGCTGTACACAGCAGACAAGTGTAACAAGTAATATTTCAAACTGTTTACATTTTCAACATTCATATGATGAAGTATTCTATTATATTTGGATCTAGCGTGCTTTCTTTGCCACTCACCATTTATGAAACTCAGCTCTTCCTCTGAGTGGAAGCTGACCAGGTGACCTTGCTCTGTGTTACAGCGAGCCTCAGCATCTTGCCAGTTTTTCACTGTCTCACTCTCAAAAAAATAGCAGAAGTTCCCATACAGCAAATATCCAGGGTCACAGTGGAACTCTAAAGGAAACCATTAGAAGGTTAATAACATGCCTTTAATGAGAGTATATGAGTGGGATCTTTACTGTGACTAACCAGGAGCTGAAGTTGGTTTGGGGTTCTGTCCACCTGTCATCTCACAAATGTAGCCCAGCAGTTTGAAGCAGTTGGTTGTTTCCCATTTGCCCTCATAATTTCCTGGAAGGAAACATAAATTCACCAGATACTGGTTTTACAGTGAAAAGATAATGGAAGTCTTAGTTTGAGCCAGAGTGACAGAGTGCATGTCTGACCTGTGAAGATCTGGCCACAGTCCCAGAAACCTACAGTGTTTTTGGGCCAACCGGGTGCATAGTTTGAAAAGGTAATTGCAGTTTTATCCACCCATTTGAAAACCCCGTCCTGGTCCTTATCTGTTAACATCAAAAAGTGGGAAATAAATATAAAATGCATTTACATGATTCACAAATACTGTAAATATAATTCTTTCTTTTTTATCTTCTTGTTTCATAGTGACCTGATAATCCGATCCAGATGTCAGGAATGTCCACTTGGTGAAAGTCTGGAAGCTTCCCATTTATGAAGAACTGTTCTTCTTGACTGCACATGAGGAAGAGAGCAAACTTGGCAGACAAGGTTCTCAGCTGTACTCACAAGCAACTCACTCTGTCAGCGGGGTTACATCTGTATCACAAATGCCTTTACATGAGAGCAAACAGCCAACATGTCTCCTGGTGAGGTGTAATTTAAAGCTGCATTGACCAATGTATTTCACATTAACAATGGATTTAATGCTGCATAGTGTGAAGGGTGTTGCTCGTGATGACAACAGATAAATGTCCCACAGCCCTGCAGCTACTGGGCCTTTTTTGGCTTCTTTTAGCTCACTGTCTTGATTCTCCAGTTTTACCTAGCAACAAACAGCAAGTGGACAAGCTCAGAGAGAAGCTAGTGAGTTCTGAGCAACATTTGGCAACTAAGCTGAGAGGAGAACAAATACTGGATTTACACTTATCAGGTGGCCAAAACTATGACTCTAAATGAATGATAACGGTGCTTTGTGTGTCTGCTGTGTGTTATTAGACAACTGCATGCCAAAACATTCACCAAAGCAACTTTATAAGCTAACAATATCAGTTTTCAGCTTGTATGACTAATTTTTTTTTGGGGGGGTGGTGATTGTTCTGCTTGACCTACCTATTAATAATCAGCAGGTGGGCCCCCATATCAGAGCACTTGGTGAGGGCATCATGCCAGGTGGTCAAGAGGTTGATATTACTGACCATCCAATAACAACTGCCTGCAAAGCTCAACCAGCCAGGAGGGCAGATGGCTGGAGACGTGGAAGTGAGGAACAGCAGGACAAGGTTAGAGGTAAAAAAAAAGCATAGAAAACTCGTCAACCTGTAAAGAGTGGAACAAACAATCCAGCTTACTGTTCAGTGGTCGTTCACACATGTAAGGACGCTCATATCTGCACATATGGGTCCTCCATTTACCAAAATCAGCTGACCTATCTTTGATTATTGTGGAACATGAGCCAGCCTGTGTGTCACTGTTGAAGAGCACAGGAGGTCAGATTTTCATTTGTGAGATCACAGTTTAAAGTTTACTGACAGGCACACTGAGGGATATCTTACACTGTAGGTTCCCCACCGGCCCAGTTTGTGTACCCCACTTGGACGGCATCAGACCAGGTAAACTGGCTGTTACCCACTTCGACTTGACAGGAAATCTTGTTGCATTTCTGGAGAAACAAAGCAGATGTTCACACTGATGAACATCATATCCACATCCAATATTAAATGACAAGAAAGCAAGCAGGCGTCCTCTCACCAGTGTGGAAAGCCCAATCCAGTGGTCAGGATGAAGCGGGCCCAGCATTGATGTGACAAACTGCTCTTCTTCTGCTGAGGCAATGGACACCAGGTCGCCGCCATCCTGCACACAGTCATATCTGGCTGATGCCCAGCTCTTCCTTGTGTCTACTTTTAGCCTGTAGCAGTTTGAGCCATACTGTGTCCAATTATTGGCAAAGTCACACTGAGGGCTAGGATTGGCTGAACAGCAAAAAGAAAAAGACGTGTCATTAGTCCCTTAAATGTGAAGGATCATGTACCCGTCAGTGGGGTTTGAGCTTAAAGTCAAATGATGTAACGTGAATAGTTCAAAAGTGATTCGGCATTTTGAAAAAAGAAAAAAAAAAGTTGTATTTTAAAGGTACTTCAATGATAATCCTGCAAGTGTAGATAAAGTTGCTGTTTGAAAAGTGACCTATTTGATCAGCCCGACAGGTTGACGTTTATAAAGTTGCTATAATCTGGATCTCCATACTCTAGCTTTGAGAGCAGTCTGCCTGTGCAAAAGTTTGTGGAGGTTAGATCAACTTCACTTGGAAAATACTTCAAATTATTGCAGGATTTGCTGAGTAGTTGGGAAGATAATAAAACAGATGTGACTGCTTTAGAACTTATAGCATAAAAAGACCAAAAGAAAGAAAAACAGATAAACTGACCAAGGGCGACAGCTCAGCAGCTTCACATAACAAAATGAAAGGTCTGAAACAGTATGGATGCCAGTTGTTGGACTCACAGTTGACGTGCTTGCAGATATATTTTCTCTTAGCACTGCAGGTTTCATCATTCCAGTGTCCAGAGCTATAACCTACAACCTGCCCACAGTCCTCTCCTGGGTCGCTGCCCCAGTTATCAGGCTGGCCTGGCATCCAGTATCTGGAACAGGACAGGAGAGAAGTCTGCAACTATCAAGCCTTTATTCAAACAGAGCTTTAATGAATTGAATGCTTCTGTGATAGCAATATTACATACGATAGGGTTTCTATAAAAGGACTCCCATCAGTCCACTCCCAGACACCTTCTACAACTCGATCGTTCAAGCCAATCCAAAAGATCTCTTGACCGATTTGTGTTCTCACCCACATCTAGAAATAACAAATAAAATTACATGAACATGTGAAATGAGAACCTTTATCAAGTGTTGTTGCTGTCTGTGCATTTGGACATCTCACCCTCTCCTGAATGTCTTGAATGCTCATCAGGTTGCTGTGTTGCTCCAAACAAAGCTCATTAGCCTCCAGCCATGACTTTACATCAGTTGAAAAGAAGTAACATTTGTTCTGGTACTCCCTCCAGCCTGGCTGACACTGGCAGTGAGCTGAAGATACAGCCAAAATGTGACACTTTGAATTAAGAAAGATCAATTTAATTTGAAGGGAACACAGGAAAGTGAAGCAGTTAAACAGCCATCAGAAATCCCTCCACCCTCTTAAGCAAGTCAGCGTTTCTTTTGCCGTTGTTGTACCATTCATCCTTGAAAAGGCCATTTTCTTTTCACTCGACTTCCTCCACCAGTACCTTCAGCTGCGGCTCCAGTAAAGGCCACTAGATGTTGGTCCCAAGGCTTTGAAGTGATAGGGAAACACTAAACTTTAAATATTACAATATAAGTCACTTCCTTTCCTTTACAAGAGCGAACGTCACTGCTGTTCACGTGTTCAATGTATCTGTTAAAACAAGAGTCTAAGACCTGGTGATCACACTGCTGTGGCGGTTGCAGGCAACAGTTTGCTAATCAAATTAGAACATTAAAAAAGGGCGACACAAAAAACTTTCAATAAATGAGTAGAATTTAAAAAATGCTGAAGTCAGAATCAGAAAATGTTGGGTGATTTTTGCTTCATAATAGTTGATGGTTAACTGCTCATTAATTAACTGACTAATAGTTGCAGCTCTAAATTAATGAATGCCTTTAATGAGTGCTGAGACACTAAAAACTATGTTGTGCACTTCACGTTACTGTAGTTTTCCTTGTGTCACTCATCGGTACATGTTAAATAATATTCAGTCTATTAATCTCAGAATTTATTTGGTTTAAATAATTCGTTTTTTAAATATGGATGTATGTAGTGTTGCTGCATGATTAGACATAATGGTATAACATCTTTCAGCCCTTAGCTTTCACTGGTTGATAAGTAAAAATACTCAGTTGATGTGAATGATTCATTTGAATGTGCATTGATCATAAAAGTCCCATGACAGAGCTGCAGTCCAGCCACGTCGACCAACTCTCAGAACCTCACACAAACCTTTGGGTAATGTTTGACTTTAACAGCTTCACAGACACTATAGAATCACATGTTTTGCACACATCCTTAAAGAACACTCTGCACGATGTAAAGAGATGAGCGCACTATGATGCTACAGACGCATCAGATACTGAAAACCCTCTATCAGAAGATTAAACCACTGCTTACTTTGACTTTCACGTCAGCTGATTTAAAGAACAATTAGAACATAAAAAACTGCAACTTTTGCCAGTTAAACCACCTACAAGCATAAACCACCTTTTGTTTATAAAGACAATTGGTTGTGTAAAAAACAAACAAACAAAAAAAAAAAACATGGCAGTAAAATAACCTAGTGTTAAGACATCTTCACATTTTAAGATGTGACATTTAAGCACATCTTAAAATGACTGATCTTATTAGGGATCACAACAGAGATGAGTAAAACTTAGCTGAAAACTGTTCTTAAATATGGAACAAAATACAAAATGTTTAGAAAGATCTTGTATGTGTATTTCGTCATTCTGATAAATTTCCATCCCAGGTCTGCACTCAGTTCATGTCCTCCACAGCCGCCTCAGCTCATTGGCTAAAAACACATTTTATTCCATTTCTCAGGTGGTTGACCATTAAAATTCCTGTCTCGGGATCGAGCTTCAATTTTAGAAAATTTTTTTTTTTTTTTAAATCCAAAATATATAGACTTACCACCAGCAAGAAGAGCAGCGATGCCGAACAGCTGCAGAAGAATTTGTCTTCTGTCCATATTTACCTTTCTGTGTTCACCTTTTAAGGTGCGTTTCAACACATCCTAGTTTTTCCTCTTAACCCAGAGTCTGGTAATGTTTGTGATGTGTTCAAGCTCCAGGTCATCAGCTCTCTGAGCATCTTCTCTTTGGTTTGCCTCTTTTCAGCATCCATCCAGAGTCCAAAGACTGAAAGCAGTAAAACACAGATGACAAACACTTGACCTCTTCACTAATTCTCTACAGCACAACCAGTGGATGTTTATTGAAAATTAAAACTTTGGTGGTTAAAAAGAAAGTTAACTATTTTCACTGCACTACGTGAAATATTAAGGATAAAACATTTAAGTGTCACACTGACAAAATAATTACCAATAAAAATATTACTATGAAAATGTAAAACACTGATTAATTATCAACCTTTTCTTGTATGCACTGCATTCTCTATTTTTACTACATGTTAATTGTAGCTAAATACATTTTAAAGCATTTAGTTGATTAAATGTGTTATATACTGTGAATAAAATGTACTTACCTACACAAAGCATTAAAATGATTTCATTCTTTTTTTCTAAACAACTGTTGAAAATGGTACAAATTCTGTAAACTTTGCTGTATATGCCCCAAAACTCTCAGCACCCAGTACATAATGATGTGATAGATTTCAGCCAATGCATTTCATCAGGAACTTTGTGTAAATCAACAATGTGCAACCTCTCAATAATCTTGATACATTCATGAGAGGAGAGTGCAAATCACAGTGAAACCACAAAGTCCAGATGTTTATAATAACCACATGTCAACTGTCAATAAAACGTTATAGTGCCGAAGCTCTGCAACAAACTGTTACACTGGTTAACTGTTAACTTGGGGTAATGGGATGTTACAAAACAATAAAAACTCAAATTTGACATCAAAATCTCATTTATACATTATACTGCTCAGCAGAATGATCAACAAAACTCCAGGATTATCGGTCCGGAGTGTTCTCTCAGTCGTCACTGAGATGAAAAACCACAAATAAACCAGAAAAAGAAACTAATTCACAAAACTCTTTAGTTTAGAGCCTGATGTGCATATTATGACTTTTAATTTTATAAAAGGGCATTACAACAGATTTGATTGCCGAAGACTGTTTCTGGAACCCGTTTATGGTCAGTCCTGATGGGAGTGTTACAGGAAAGAAAGAGGACTCCACCAGTGAACTTTACACATATCTTTATTATACCAATTTATACCAATACCAAATAAAAAGCACAAGATGGAAGCAGTCAAGAGGAGGAAGAACAACACAAAGTACAGGAAAGTATACAAAAACCTACCTGACTTGTTTGCAATTGCTTCAGTTTTGGAGTAAAAATGAGTATTAATACCAGTAGAACACAAACTGTGCAATAGCATTTATATTTCTCGTATAAACCATTTATAACATTTCTGTTTTACAATCATCACTCTGTCAGGTTATTCTGAAAAACCGTTGCCAGAAATTATTAAATTATTCTTAGATATGGCAGTTAAATAAACATCTTCAAACTTAAAACACAATGAAATTCTCCATTTAGGACAAAAATATACTCCAACTTCACATCTATTCTACGAAAGTAGTGCACAGCGATGGATTAGATAGTGTAGTAAAGAAGAATATCAAAGATACACCTATTTTATTACACAAAAATGTCCATATATTAAAATATAACAAGACCTTCTGCAAAAACAAACCTCAGCTGAATCTGATACACGTCTGCAAGTGCTTTGATTAGACAAGACAAACCTGGGATTTGAAGATCTGCCCCTGTCAGTTGGAAGAGTAATGTAAAATGAGAAAGAACTGGAAAGAGGCATCATATTGCTCTGATCACTCCTCGACTCTCGAGTAGATGCCGGCCATCAATCCTTTCTCAATTCTGAAGTCGAGGTAAAAGACAGGATTTGGGATTCATCAGGTGCTTGAACTGGATTTACATCTGTAGCTTTGTTAAATGGCTAACGCACCTTTCTGTGAGTGTGTCTGGCACTTGCAGCAGTTAAATCACCTTTTAACCAGTGACTGATTTGTCCATAACAGCCTTAAATGATTGTTCACACCTAAGTACAGGCAAATCCCAGCTAGAAATGCTTGGGCGATGTAGCTTACTGCAGCTGGAACAGCTCTGAATTTCACCGTCAAAGTTAAACTGCCACTGAAATGGAGGCTCTCCTATAAGATCACAGGAATTCTGGAAATGTATTTGACATCTTAAAATTTGCCATGTTTGGTATATGTTACTGCGCACACTGCACCGGAAACAAGACGTTCAAGTAGGTCCAATGTGAATGTTTTTTACTGACTGATTTGTCTCATCTCTCTGGACAATGAACAACCGCAGAGGCCGTAATCCAGAGACAGTTAAAGAAGCAATTAGAAATCCTTTCAAACTGGCCCAACATACAGTCCATGTTCATAATGTGCACAGTTAACATAGCAGTTCTGAACCCAAACTTGCCTCACATTCTCAAGAGGCTAGTATTAAATTCAAGGCTCAGCTATTTTCCCTTAAAACAACAAAACTATGCCAAACAAAAGAAAATACAGTACAAAATACTATTGCAAACAACACTAAGAGGAGTCAAGAAAAATGCCTTGGATGTGTCTTTCTGTTCAAAAAGACTTTATCAGATGTGCAATTCAAGTCAAAAGCTCCCTAAAATTCCTCAGTCAGTGTGAGAGAACTGAACATCATCCTGAATCAGTTTGAGGCTGATGCTCAGACTGTGTTGACAGTAAAAGGGTTGCTGGGTGAAACCATTCTGTCACTGTCTGTGTGCTTTGTGTTGTGTGCCCGTGCAGTGATTAGATCTGCTGGTGACCTGGCAGTCAGTCACCTGGTAAATATGCGGCAGTCACATGCAGTTGACCACGTTGCTGGAGCCCTGGCCGATGTCCCTGATCTGGCTGACATGAGACGAACAGACAGCCACTCCGGCACCGGCACGACAGTGAGACACCGAACCCACCCGCTCCCACCTGAACAGCAAACAGGTACAGATCAAATAAGAACCGCAACGTGACAACGTTAACGGTGCTGGACGGCTGCTCTTTAGAACTACTGGAGGACTGTAGCTGCAGAATTCACATTATTCATCAACTATATGACAGTTGGCAAGGCAAGTATATTTGTATAGCACACTTCATTCACAAAGGTAATTCAAACAGCTTTAAGACATTTAACAAAAAAAGAAAATAGCATAAAACATTTGAGTTAAAAGAATAAATGTTTCTACTGGTCCTCCATAACTGGAGGAACAGACTGTCGCTATTTATGTGGTGTTGTCTATTATATAACTGGTTGTCTATTAGTAACAGATATAAATACACTCATCAGCCACTTTATTAGGTACACCTGTAAATGCAACACTTCTGTCTTAACATCTGTGTTTATGAAACACAAAATGTTGGTTTTTGGAGAAACTGTTAATTTAACTATTCAATTACTGTATATGTTTATTATTGAGGTCATAGTTAAAGGCGGGGTTGTACTGGACCACATTATATCCAGAGGTGTTCCTAATATTCTGACCCTCTCATGTATGTAGCGGGGAAGGACAAAAATATAGAGACACCTAACAATCTGCCTCAATACCTTAGAAACACGGCATCACACAGCCCTTGTTCACCTCCACCTCACCTGTTCATTCGAGGCTCAAAAGCCTCCACCGTGTTCAGGTAGATGTTCCCATTGTGGCCTCCGACTGCAAACACTCTTCCCATTACAGTGGCGACCCCGACCCCACCACGGGGTGTGGTCAGCTCAGACACATACTCCCAGCGGTCCATTCGTGGGTCAAAGCGCTCTACAGAGCTCAGAGGTGAGTTGTCATCAAAACCACCTTTAGAAAATGAGACAGACAAATATTTAAAAAAAAACAAGAAATTTTTCTTTTAAGGTTTTGTGAAAAAAGCTTAATGGAATCTGACATGATTTTACTTGTAACTTTTAGTTTCACTGAGTAGGATTATGCTGTTTGTAAAGGAGCAGCCACAAGAGAAGATTATATATTCATTTTAAGCCACAGCCACTGACTCAGCAACATGTCACAACAGAGGTTTCAATGAACCTTGAATGGCTCTTCAAATTCAAGTGGCACAATAAAAGATCCAATCCTGACACTGTGAATCAGTTACCAGATAGTTTTACGAAACACACACTTCTGTCTTCCCTGATTTACACATTTGTATATAAAATTGTAGGGCGTGAACTTAAGGCATGTGATGTGGGCATATCAAGAAAAAAGCACCCATGTCAGCAAAATACTGACAAAGAGTCGGTCTAATTTCAGTCACTGCAGTAAAAGCAAATGTAGGACAAAAACACAACCTCGAACTGCTGCTCTGATAATGTTCACAAGGCTATTAAAGTGATCAGAACTGAAGAACACTGCAGGTGTTGGAAATCAAACTGAGAAATGTGATATGTCCATTTTATTAGTCCTTCTCACCCACTACATAGAGGCAGCTGTTCAGTTTGCTAACTCCATTCCCAGCCCGCCGCTGGCCCATCTCGCTGACCTCTGTCCACTTGTTAAGGTGAGGGTCAAACCGCTCCACACTGGATAGCGAAGCCACGCCATCGTTGCCTCCAACTGCATACACAAAACTCTGGCAGGGAGAGGATATAAGGGAATGCAGTGCAGACATGATTTATCAATCACAGCTGCCTGGCTTTCCACTTCAGTCTTACCCCCAGTGCCACAGACCCCACTCCTCCTCTGGGTGTGTTCATTGGAGCCACGGCGCTCCAGCAATCACTTTCAATGTCATAACGCTCCACGTCATTGAAGCAGGAGTTGTCATCCAGACCTCCAATGGCATAGATAGGACCGCCAAGAGCTGCTAGGGCTATACCCCTCCTGAGAAACACATACAGTACAGACACCATTTTAGTTTTTCCAGCTCTGTGATGGGGACTATACATTGCTCAAAGTAGATACATACAGTGGGGCAAATAAGTATTTGATACACCGCCGACTTTTCAAGTTTTCCCAGTTACAAAGAATGGACAGATCTGTAATTTTCATCGTAGGTACACCTCAACTGTGAGAGACAGAATCTACAAAAAAAATTCCAGAAAATCACATTGTTAGATTTTTACTAATTTATTTCCATTGTATTGCATGAAATACTGTAAGTATTTGATACAATAGAAAAACAGAACTTAATATTTGGTACTGAAACCTTTGTTTACAATTACAGAGGTCAGATGTTTCCTGTAGGTCTTGACCAGGTTTGCACACACTGCAGCAGGGATTTTGGCCCACTCCTCCGTACAGGTCTTCTCCAGATCTTTCAGGTTTTGGGGCTGTCACTGGGCAACACGGAGTTTCAGCTCCCTCCATAGATTTTCTATTGGGTTCAGGTCTGGAGACTGGCTAGGCCACTCCAGGCCCTTGAAATGCTTCTTACGGAGCCGCTCCTTAGTTGCCCTGGCTGTGTGTTTGGGGTCATTGTCATGTTGGAAGATCCAGCCACGACCCATCTTCAATGCTTTTACTGAGGGAAGGAGGTTGTTGTCCAAAATCTCGCGATACATGGCCCCATTCATCCTCTCCTCAATACGGTGCAGTCGTCCTGTCCCCTTTGCAGAAAAGCACCCCCAAAGCATAATGTTTCCACCCCCATACTTCACGGTTGGGATGGTGTTCTTGGGATTGTACTCATCCTTCTTCTTCCTCCAAACACGGTGAGTGGAGCTGACCACATGACCTTCTCCCATGCCTCCTCTGGATCATCCAGATGGTCTTTGGCAAACTTCAGACGGGCCTGGACATGTGCTGGCTTGAGCAGAGGGACTTTGCGTGCGCTGTAGGTTTTTAAGCCATGACGGTGTAGTGTGTTACTAATGGTAACCGTTGAGACTGCGGTCCCAGCTCTCTTCAGGTCATTGACCAGGTCCTCCCGTGTAGTTCTAGGCTGATCCCTCACCTTTCTCAGGATCATTGATACTCCACGAGGCGAGACCTTGCATGGAGCCCCAGTCCGAGGGAGACTGACAGCCATCTTGAATTTCTTCCATTTTCTAATAATTGCACCAACAGTTGTTGCCTTCTCATCAAGCTGTTTGCCTATTGTCCTGTAGCCCATCCCAGCCTTGTGCAGGTCTACACTTTGTCCCTAGTGTCCTTAGACAGCTCTTTGGTCTTGCCCATAGTGGAGAAGTTGGAGTCTGATAGATTGAGTGTGTGGACATGTGTCTTTCATACAGGTAACGAGTTCAAACAGGTGCAATTAATACAGGCAATGAGTGGAAGATAGGAGGGCTTCTTAAAGACAAACTAACAGGTCTGGGGAAGCCAGAATTCTTGCTGGTTGGTAGGTGATCAAATACTTAATATCATGCAATACAATGGAAATAAATTATTTAAAAATCTAACAATGTGATGTACCGGAATTTTTTTGTTGATTCTGTCTCTTACAGTTGAGGTGTAGCTACGATGAAAATTACAGATCTGTCCATTCTCTGTAAGTGGGAAAACTGAAAAAATCGGCAGGGTATCAAATACTTATTTGCCCCGCTGTATGTGTCATTTATCCATCACTCACAGTATGGTCAATAGCAGGGGTGTAAAGGTACACGTATTTGTACTGAACTGTTTCGTTACAGATGCCCGAGCCCGAGGTGGCTCGGGCATCTGTTTCGGATGCCTCCTGGGCGCCTTCCTAGGGAGGTGTTCCGGGAATGTCCCACCGGGAGGAGGCCCCGGGGAAGACCCAGGACACGCTGGAGGGACTATGTCTCTGGGCTGGCCTGGGAACGCCTCTTTTTTTGGCATTCCCCCGGAGGAGCTGGAGGAAGTGTCTGGAGAAAGGGAAGTCTGGGCATCTTTGCTTAGACTGCTGCCCCCGTGACCCGGTTCCAGATAAACGAAAGAAAATGGATGGATGGATGGATGGATGGATGTTTTGTTACAGGCCTTGTACCCAGTGCAATCTTTAATGGTAGTTATCAATAAGGTTATTTGGGTGTGGAACATTTCTTTCAAAACTGTCGCCCCACCATGAATATATTAAGTGATAGACTGGAGAACAGTAACACACAGCACACTTAGTTTAGCCAAGTCTCTGGCTAGTAAACGCCATGACAAATGCAAACGAGAAGCCAGAGCTCGAAGACCCTCCCGTATCATTAAGGTCTCCTGTCTGGGAACACTTCAGCTTCCCGGTGAAATACAACAACAGACAAAGACAAGTGGATAAGATGTCAGGTGATCGCACTGGCTCGGAATCTAGTCACACACCCATTCTCCACTGCAACAGCAGAGCTAGATGTCAAACAGCACCAGATTTGGATTCAAAATGGGTATGAATACACTATTTTGAAAGCCCTCTGTCACAGAGTGAGTTCACATAAAAACTTGGCTTCTCAATATAACTGCTTCCCAGCATCAGACCAAGTCCCTGTTTTTAACAAGCTTTGTTTTTGTCATTCCCACTACAACTCAAGACTGGTCTTCTTCAGATCCATCCAGTGTGGAGAGCATTTCTGAAAATCACAACTCTTGGGTGTGAAAAGCCAAAATGGAGACAGATGTTAGTCTGACAGCACACTCTCCCACATTGTTAGCCAAAGTAAAATGTACTATTCAGATTCAGTCTATTGTAGTGTTGTGTACCTTTTGGTGTTCATCGAGGCTTTCATCATCCACTTGTTGGTGAGAGGGTCAAACATCTCCATGCTGCCTAAATGTTCATTACCATCATGGCCTCCAACAGCATAAACTTTTCCTAATAAACAGAAATAAACATTTACAAAGTTGGCCTCCGTCATCATGCGAGGTCAGTGAATGATACTGTTACAACAAACTAAAATATAAGTTTATAACTTTTCTGAGTTGTAATTAGTCATATTTTACAAATACAGTTACAAATACAAATATAATACAGCTGGCAGGTTGCAAGGTATACAATATTTAATTTACAGCTAATTAAATACTGATCTCCTTTCTGAATTATCAAATAATAGGGATAAGTAAACATTTATAGAAAATACTACATATTACTAAATACACCATTATATCTTCTTGTGATTTGCAATTCCTAAACCTAGGCTCTGTTTTTTTTTTGCTGTGTTATATATAACCTGTCTTACCTCCTACAGAGATTACACCCACATGACGCCGTCTGCTGTTCATTTCAGGGCCAAAAAACCAGCTGTTCTTAGTGATGGAGTAGCACTCGATGCTGCGAAACGGGTCGCCAGAACCTCCCCGGCCACCCACACAGAACAATACACCTGAGGAAATGATAAGAAAGAACAAAAGCTGGCACACATCATACATGCTTGAAGAACAAACACATTTTAGAAAGAAGAAGAGACTGAGTCTGTTACAACACATGAATAGCATTTTGTTTCATGTGTGTCTAGGATGACAAAAAAGTTGGTACCAGTGCCTTAAAATCTTTAGTTACATTTTCAATGCCAAAGGCCACCATATATTTAGTACCTGCGGTGTGTTTCCGGGGTATGGTGCGGACTGAATACTCAAACTCTGGCACCACCTTATTGCTGATGTGGAGGTGGTAGTTCCTGGCTTCGTCCATGAGGTCACGACAACTCAGGTTACCTTTGATCATCTCATCCTTAGCCACTGTTCCAGTTAAGAAGTCTACAGGGAGCAAAGGGAGGCGCACCTGTAAGAGACACCAACATACAGTGTGCTGCGGTTGTAAAAGCGACAACACTCAGCTCAAGAAAACAACACCCCTCATGAGCCAAGCTATGCACTCTCTGACCTGAGACATGATCTGTTCCAGCCAGGCCTTGTGGTGCTGTGGGTTTGCTTTCAGCCATTTTATTGCTGCATTGTACACCTGTGTCTCTGAGTGGATATTGAGCTCACTGGAAGACAACAGTGTGCGCAAGTGCTGGGGTGACACGCATGTGAAGTCCTCACAGTCAACAACCTCAGTGAAGTGTTCGCAGGCATAGCGGTCAGCCATGTCCATTAGGTCCACACGGTTGTGGCTCTCAGCAAAGGTACGAACCGCCAGACAGTTGGTGGGGTGAAAGTGGACCTTCATGTACTCACAGCAGGCTCTTGCCACTAACTCCACCTAACAGAACCAGACAGTAATAAAGGCATTTTACACATTCGCATTATGCCTGCTGCTTGGTGAGTGTGTGCATTTATATTTCTTTACCTGAAGAATGCAGGCAGCATAAAGCAGTGGCTGGACATTGTCAACTGTTAATGTGAGCTTGGAGGAGTAGGCAAAATGCACCAGGTCCTGAATAGCATCACCATCAAAATCCTTGATTTCTATCAGTTCCTGCTTAGCCTCTGACATATCCGACAAAAACATGGCCCTGAGAGAAGAAATGGCCACTTAGATAAGAACAGTTCCTTTCACAAAGCTTAATGTTCTGCAAAACATAAAACACGGAAAAATATATTGTGTTCTGAAGCCTGCAAGAGACTGCTCCACTGCTGTCCATTCATTAGGTATGGAGGCCCAGAGTTCACATTATGTTTAGTTGAAATATCATGTTTTAAAGAAAACTATTGTTATTTTACACTATAATAGCCTTTTTGTATATCACCATTTTATATAATATACTGTATGGCTTTTCCCAGATGTTAATATACAAGAGGGCGGCTGTGGCTCAGGAGGTACAGCGGGTCGTTTCCTAACCGGAGGATTAGCGGTTCGATTCCCGGCTTGTCCAGTCAACATGTCGAGGTGTCCTTGAGCAAGACACTGAACCCCCAGTTGCTCCCAGTGATGTCACCGGTGTGTGAATGCGTGAGTGCTTGGGAGTGCGAATGGGTGAATGGCCGAATAATGTGAAAGCGCTTTGAGTGTGCTGTAAAAGCATAGAAAGGCGCTATACAAGTATAAGACCAAGAAGAAACAGACTGTTTCTATCTAAGCATCATTGTATAAGGAGATACACTGAAATGACAAAATTGAGTCTTAAATGTTTTATGAAAACACAGCTAATAGGCTCCATTAAGTAACTATCAAGCTCAAGATCAAAGATTTTTTATTGTCAATTCACTATATGTGCAGGACATACAGAAAATTGAAATACTGTTTCTCTCTCACCTAGTATTGAATGCCATTACCATTTAGGAAACTAAAATAGAATAAAAAGAATAAGAAAAACAAAATAAAAGTGATTAGGGTAAAAACTAAACAGTACAACCTGATAGGCTATGACTGAAACCCTGTACAATCAGTGTCAGAGCATAGAAAAATAGCAAGAAGATTGTCAGATGGTTGTGAGATTGAGATGCACACAGACAGTATGACCAACAGCAGAAGATATGACGGTGAAAACAGTCACATCTGCTGTTCACGAGTAAGAGAAATACTTAATATTATAATTAAATTAATATTATAGGGCGGCACAGTGGAGCAGTGCCTGCCTGGCTTCTCTCCGGGTACTCCTAGGTCCCGGTGGACCCTGCCTGAAAAGATAAAAATAAAACATACCTGAAGTAAGGGATAACACAAGCCAGCACTAGCTTGTGGCATGGTATTAACTTATTTCCAACCTAGGGATAAATAAAATACTTTTTAAAAACAGGTAACAAGGCACACCTTCATGCAGTATTAACAAGCTTGCCACTTATTTATTTCTACAGTATGACTGCTAGGACAGAGTACTGAAGACATAAGTAGAGATCAATTATAATAAAAACATAAGACAACCAAATCCCTTCCTTCCTTTACATTTACACAAGGTGACTCACCTTCAGCGTAACATCACAGAGCTCCCCAACCTCGTAGAAATGCCTGAGTGAGTTATGGAAGTCCTTCCAAGCCTCATGAGCCTCAAAGACAAAGGACCCATCAGGCTCAAAGTCTGCTTTGGAAGCCCCGTTTCCAGGCCGCTTCTCCTTAGACTTCAACTGCTTGGCATGGGCTGCCGCCACATTTCCTGGTGCCATAGTTGGCTAGCGGCTACAGAAAACAGCACCTGTAAGAGAGAAAAGAGAGAGGAGGAATCTGATCACCTTATAAAGACCGTGGCAGTTTGGGGTAGGCAATATGGATACGTTGTGATATTTTGATTCAACACATGTGGCACTAGGGATTAAACTATTACTCGACTGAACAACAGAAAATTAATCAGCAACAATTTAGAGATCTGACTCATTGTTTTCTTGAACTTTTTAAAGCAATAATAATCATCCTTTTCTTCAAGTAGTTTCTTTTTCAGTTTTAGATCATTGACTTACACAGCTGGGTCAAAATACATTGAGGAATTGAAAATAATCAACAGATTAACCATTAATAAATAATTCTTAGCCGCAGCCCTATTTAACCCTATACAATTATATGGAGAGGCTATAAACACTAGTACTGAATTATCACCCATCCCTACCAATAATAAGCAGGACAAATTTGAACCGTCACTAACTGCGTCATGCAACAAGATGAAATAGAAACCACAACCCAGTGCAAATAACATTCTATAGGCTTCAGTGAAAGAAACAAAAGAGAAATTGGTGGGGGACATGGTCTGGCAGCTGAGCAGGTTTGGCCAGTATTTCTCCCCTTTCAGTGTCACTTCCCCTTTCACTCATTCAGCAAAGATTGAGCATATTAGAACAAGCAGATTCCTCCTCCAAACTAACACACAAGAAAATACAGTGCAGTCAAACCCAAAGAAATTCCTACCTATTGCTGAGTCTGATGAAAAATCACCACAAATGAGAAGAGATGCTGAGAGCAGCCAGCCAGGGGCCAAAGCTCCACCCACACCTTACAGATGATGCACTGTCTCTTTTTTGAGCTATGCCTCTGAAAATGAATAGACTCAGTGTATTACCCCCTCATCACTAGTCCTCTCAGCTGTAAGAGCAGAAAACGCTGGTCATCAAAGGAGTCGAGCTCGACTTCTGTTCTACTTTGCAGACGTGTGGACAGGCTTCATCTTTGAGACTATATGATTTTTCAAAATATGTAGGAATTTAGTAATATTCATTTACTCAATGGGAGATTCTGAGTCATTTGCAACATAACATCCACAGACTATGATGTTTTATTCATAAGGAGTAAGTGAAGTGGGGTAGTCAATAATTTAACAAGAGATGTTTTGCAGAAGAGTCAACTCCACTGAGTACAAACAGAAAAACAATACACTTTTTTAAAATTCATGCAGTATTTTTCTATGCATCCATGTGTGTGTGTGTGCACCATACAACCGGGACCCCCACTAGGCAACCAGTATGCAACACTAGGCACAAAGATATACAGAAGATGGGTATGCATTCACAAAAACTCACTATTGTCATGTCAGATTACTTCAGCCACTTCCAAGAGGACACAGCAACTCCTTTGGTCAGAGTATTGTGACAATTGTTCCTGCATACTGAATTACTACATTTCCCTGACCACTTTTTCAGAGACTGAGGGTAAGGCTGCTTGTAAAAAAAGAGAAAATTGTCAAGGAAAGTATTTATGTAGTTGGTTGGGAGTGTTTTACATTAACACATCATATGTAGTGTTTTTGTTTGTTTTTTTTTGATTAAATGTCACCCTTTTACAGTTTGAATTTTGTTATACTATGTGCTTATAAAACCAGACATATTCCTAAATCCTAACTAATCAGGTATAAAAGTGCGCGGACTACTTTTTCTTAGATGTGCCAAAAATATCCAGTATGGTGACAGATGTATGTAAGGATGCTTTAATAGTTAACAACAGGCCTGGACAATGGAATACCATGCGAACATATCTAACCTATATATAGGTGTAGATATTTATAATGAGGTAGCAGCTGTTGCTAACTGTATCTATATTTTACATAGCTGTTTAACCTCCAAACGATAGCTAGCATCACGAAGTAACATCTAAATTTTTTTTGACGTGTCGACACTTTCTAAGTAAGATACCAAAGGGTAACAGTCGACAAAAGCTGAAACGCAATCTTTAATATCCAACATGCAACCACACGTCGACAATTCATGTAGTAAGACAAGCTTGGATTATCAAGTTGGTACGGCTGACTAGTAGCCGCATTCAGTGTAAACACTATCTCTAAGCAACAAGCTCCTTTCTTTCTTATAGTCCATATAACGTATAGTCAAACATTATGGCTCTACGGGACATGATAAATTTAACTAGGTGGGTTACGAGTGAATTAACGGTTAGCTTGTTTGCTAACAGCATCTAGTAGACAAGTTAGCATTCGTACGACAACTAACTAGCAGGAAACGGACAGGATTTAGCGAACACATTAAATGATGAATGCTACAAATGAGTGTAAAATGTTGCATAATTGTAGTCTTGTGTGAAACATATTCAAATTAGATACCTCATGTCGCAGCAGAAATTAAAATGCCGGCTTCATTGAGAGCAATGTTTGACATCGACACATTTGTTGTGAGTCCAGGTGCCTCATGGGTATTGTGGTTTTAAAGCATTACCTGACAAGCAGCTGCTGCATTAACAAAATTACCAAGCTTTCAGTGCTATTTTAAAAAGTGTTTAATTTAAGCTCCCTTGTTTTGTCTCTGAAGCTGATGGAAAATGCATGATGTAAACCACTTTCCACTATATTTATGCATGCAGTAATGCTAAGAACAGTAGTGGAATGTAATGTAAACATAAGTTAATTTACTTAAGTACTGCAGGTCCTACTTAACTACAAATTTGACGTAGGCTACTTGAATGTTCCTTCATACAGCTTACTACTCCACAGCATTTTAGAGGTAGTATTGTACATTTTTACTACAATTACAATATTTGACTATTGTTACTAGGCCTGTTACTGTCTGTATGTCCTGCACATATAGTGAATTGACAATAAAATTGATCTCGATCTTTACTAGTCCAAATACTCAAGAGTTAGGATTTTGATGATACATTTTCCTACATTTACATACTTAAGTAACACTTTCAGTGCAGGACTTTTATTTATAATGGACTAAGAATGTTGATGTCAATTTAACTGTAAGATCAGTTTAAATGTTCTGTATAACCACCACAAAGTCTGTGCAGTTAAAACTGTGCACCAGAGTCATGTGAAAAGTCAGCAAATGTTAAACTGTAATTTGCATTGCTAGTTAACTATATTGACCAATAAAAAAAAAAATCACACTTAAAATTACACATTAACATCCTCATACTCTGGTTGAGTTCAGTTTACTGTGTATCAATGCAGTGTCTGCATATTTCTGCTTTACCTTGCAAAAAATAAGCAGAAATAGTCATTATCACAAACTGATTTACTCATACATTAAAATAAAACTCAAAATTAGCAATTTAACCATTGACATAGACTTCTGAGATATCACAATTAAAAATGTGTTGATAGTTTTTCAGCAATTATTGTCAATTTTACAGTTTTATAAACACAGTAATTACTGTTGAGCGGGATCAGATCAGAACTAATATTTGGCAAACAAACTGAGTTTCTGGAGTTTGACGGCATCTTTAGCTCTTATAGCCTAACATGCAACACCTTTAATGCTTGATTTTATGTTAATAACCAAAGCTGTTTCCTGTGCTGCCTATGAGGAGCGTGTACACAGATGGAAGGTGATACCAGTGTCCTTTAAGTTAAAAAAACTAAAGGTTTCAAAATTATACCCCGAACATTATAGCACAAAGTACAGACATGCATAGTTTTCTTTTAATTTAATCTGTAATCGGAGGCCAATTATCATGTTGAAGGAATCAGTCAGTTTTTATGGAGGGAATGAGAGGTGTAGCATAAACTGAACAAAACACAAAAACAAGATTAAGAGTTAGTGGTATAATATACCCTTAGTCTACTACTAAATACAGTTATCAAAGAAGGTTTATTTCAGAACAGTGTAAATATATGCAATTCATCCACTGGAAATAACAGGTCAAGGAGCTAAATGTTCACAGGCCACCTGAAAAATGTATATTATTATATGACACAGTCACAGATTGGGTTTGTGATGGTCACTGTATGGTCAGCATCATCTCCGTGTGTTCTACATGTGCTGCTTCCTCTTCTTCAAGAGTGCATCCCGTAGAGCGAGCTGGATAAAAAAAAAAAACAAAAAAAAAACAAAAAGAATAAATAATATTCTCAGTAGAAATGCAAAGACTGTTCAGTTCATTCTGGCATTTACATCTGACAGGTGTGACGTACCTGTTTCTCTCTGAAGGAGCGTTTGCCTTTGGTTCTGACATTCTGACTGTGTCTCATCATCATGAAGTTCTTATTCCTCCTCTTCTCCTTGTTGCTAGTGCTGGCATGTGGGTTCAGCTTGCTCCGCTTTTTGACAAACTCCTTCCGGTCCGTTCGACCTGCCTGGAAAATTCAACACATCATGTCACAATGTGCAAACTGCCCATGAATGACTTTCCAGAGTCACCATAGTTGATATCTGAATATCATGATTTTACCATGACTGTACCTCTAAAATTTCTCAGTAGCTACAAATAGGAGTTTACCATTGCTGTTGCTAGGCGGGTTTCCTTGTCTGCTTTTGGCTTCTTGTGTAGCATCTCAATATCTCTCAAGGTCAGCAACTCCCCTCTGAAAGATTTAGAAAAAAAAACATACAAAACCCATAGTATGATATTCCATCTTAAAAAAAAAAAACTACACATCTCAGCATAATTCTTTAAACTGCGTTCTCACCTGTTGTCACGCTCATCATCCCTGCTCACATTTTTCCTCTTCTGGCCCTTCCCTGGTGCAGCGTTTAACTCTTTGGCCATCTGCACCAGACGGATCTTCTGGAAGTCATCCTGAGTGAGGAGCCTGCTGCTGCTGACCTCTGCTGCCTTGGCTTTTCTTTCCTCCACTGGTATACTCTGAAGTTTCTCTGCCTGGCACAAGCAGACGATCAATGCAACATTTTACATTAAAAACAAAGTTACTGTACACAAATGGCCTTCAGCAGTTTATCAAGCTTTGTATTTTATCCTCACCACCTCTCCTGTTTCTTCATCAGATGAGTGATGAACATCCACCCACTCCCCATCTTCATCATCACCACTCATACTGGCACTCTCCCAGCCATCTGTATAAATACTTATTAGTCTAATACTGATCATATATTATTCCTATACACAGGCATTGCAGTATAAAAGCATATAAACCCTACTGGATCACATAAGACGATGTAACCAATAACATGAATTCAAAGATGCAATATCTGCTGACCTTCATCCTCTTCCCCCTCTTTCTTCTCCTCCTCCACCTCCAAGACTTCAGCTCCAGGTATATAGTCCTTAGATTCAAGCTCTCCATAGTCTTTGATCCTGGCCTCTGCTGATGCCTCTGTGGGTTTCCCCTGGACAAAACAAAGCACAGTTTACAAAAACAGCTGGATTTTTGTCCATTCCCAACACTCTACTCTCATGTGGATAATTCATTATAACCACTCACCATGAACAAACTCAACCATTAAGGCACCACGTTACTTTACATATTGCAATTATCTAAAGAAATGAATTATGTGAAGTCTTTTCTCATTTTGTGTAGAACTAAAGTCATACTCATTGATGTCAAATCTGAACGTAACGTTTCAGACTCACCCTGTCCTTCTTGTGCAGCATCTGTGGATTAAGTGTCCTGAACAGTTGGATCAGTCCTCTGGCAGACATCATCACATCTGAGGCAAATACAGACACAGACATGTTGCTTGTGTGGGAACATACATGCACATCTCAGAAGTGTGACTGTGATGGTCACTCACTCTTGTCTTTGTGGGTCTTGTACTGGGCCAGGTCCTGCAGCAGATCTTCAGTGATGGCAAGAGGACAGCGGGCTGCCACCTCCTTGATGGCATTAATACTGAAGCGTATAGAGTTGTATTGTGGTTTGCCTTTCTCATAACGTTTATTCTCCTTTTTCACATCTTATATTAACATACATATTAACTTTGAATAACTTCAACCTGAAGGTAAAGAAGTATAGAGTCCACATGGTGGCTACTTACCCCACTGTCATGACCTCTCCAGAGTTTCTGTCTGTCACAAAGTTGTTAGCAATGGTCATGATCACAGACTCAATGATCTGCATGAGAGAGAATATACAACGTTCACAGTGTTAAGAGAAATTCTTATGTTAACCTGTAGATTTTAACGTACCTCAGGGGGGACGAGCTGGTGGGAAGCCTGGGCAGCACACAGCAGAATCTTGGTCACCTCTACAGAAACAGCAGATGGTTAGAAACATGTCACCAGAAGTCAAAAGACTTTACTTAACAGTTATTTTACCTCTTTGATGGGGCTGAAGAAACCTCTGGATGAATGGGTAGAAATTGAAGAGGAAGAGCTGTAGAAGGACAAGAACAGTGAGCATTAGTCATATCTAATTTACGCTTCTATCAAATATATCCAAAGCACAGACACACCACAGACTGTTTAAATGTTCTCATTGGCTACTACTGCTCTTTAAAAATGTTGGAAAAGCTGATTCTACATATTTGACATAATCATCTGTGCTCCATCAGCAATAATTAGTCCATATGTAATTACAGCTTCACAGCAGCTATGATTCTATATCTGGTTGCAAATGAAATAACTGTATTTCAAAAGATCACTGGAACAACTGGTATTTAAAAGTGGTGCTGGATATTAGGCCTAAGCTACTGCGCTGGTCTTTGCATTGGAAAACTGTTGATCTGTTTTAAATAAACTGATTGATGGAGTCACCAACAGGGGTGTCCAAAGACCATGATTATTCACCCACCCTCAGAGAAATCTGATTTTAAGGAAAAATTATCTGTAGTTTATTTTGAAGCAAATGAACATTGACAAATCCTTTGTACTGAAGTTTTTTTATGGGGTGGAAAAGACAGGTGGGCCTACCCTGAGGATCATGAATTAGGTGAATAGCAGAGAAGTTGAACACTTCTGCTTTTTTCTTTTTCTTGTGTTTCTGCCCAGAGAGACCAGAGAAGTAAAATGATGAACTCAATTCATCTTAATATACAGTACATATAATTCAGTACAGTAATGCAGTATACAGTAAGGTATGGCAATTGAGGCCCCCAATAACTCTAGTAGTAAGGCTTATGGATACGGATGGTTTCCTATATCATATGATGTTTATACTAATAGATGGTATGGATGTAGGACAATAAATGGCTGGTCTATTATAGTGTATAATATCATCCTAATATCTTTAGTCATTTAATTTGATATGTATAGCTCTTTCTCTCGGAATGCGACAGTATGCTGTCTGTTTTTACTGTATGTTTTTATTTTATTTGTTACAGCAAATCAAATTTTCTTATGTGGGACAATAAAGATTGACTGACTGACTGAATGTACCTTGAGAACTTTCATCGCCTTTTCCATTTTCTTCTTGTTCTTGGAGGTTTTCTTGCCAGTGGAGTATCTCACCATCAGGTCTCGGGCTGAGGGTCCCTCTGTCTGGTAAAGAACACAGACTCTCAATAAAACTTGCAGAGCAAATCTAAACCCTATTTATTTCTGCTACATACACATTATAACAATGCTTAACTCTCTTCTAAACCGATCAAATGATAATTCTTCCTTTAAACACATTATCTTTGGTACTTGCCTCTGATTCAGAATCACTCTCATTTTTTTCATCCTCATCTTTTCCCAGGAAGAATTTAAGACCTGCAACAAGGATCTAAAAAGGGGGAGATACAGTAAAAGATGTACAGGTTTTCTATGTATTCACTAGTGTCAGCAAATATATTGCTTTCAGAATGGAAAAACATACCTTTGTCACTTTGGAGAAGCATGCTGTTGTGATAACATTAACCGTTTTGGCATCATTCCTGTCAAAAATAATGGTGAATAATAAGAATCCCCTGTAAAAAGAGCTCTACAATATCTTATTTCAGTGTCTATGTCACCCACCATATGTTCCTTTTATAGAGCTCCGCCATCACATCTAAAGAGATCTTTGCTGCAGTGGGATTACTGTCTCTCAGCATGGTGTACATGAAGTTCTGTAACATCTGAAATGCACAAGATTACAAAACAGTTTTAAGCTGCTGCACTCAGACAGTCAAATGTGAGGTAGATGACTTGTGTGTGCATTTACGTACCGTGTTGACCTTGTTGTTTTTGTGCTTGGCATTGATGTTTTTGATATCTGTTACAATGTGTGTGTACAGTGTCTATGGAGAGAGAAGGAGCAGGGGAAAAGGAGCACAACAGGAGAAAGAAAGTCAACATAAATAGATGATTATGATACAGAAAAACAAGTCCATTGGTCAGCATTATATAATTAACTCTATATAACTAAAATAAGTGAAAGTAAAATGGTACAGTAATTAAGGTTCTGACTAACCAGTTGCACAAATTCCCCTCTACCTAAAACTACTAGTGGGTTCCCATCTTCTTAGGTCTGAAGCTATTTAAGAATGTAACAAACCCTGAAAGCATATTTACTACGCCAAATGTATCAAAATGTTTCAACACTTCCTAATAATTTCATGGCAGAAACCTGTAATATTCCCTGATTAGATGTTGGCTGACAGTGACGCTCTAACCTTTCTAAGCAGTTTGTCGTGACATTTCAGCAACTCAAAGAAGAGCTCCAGGAGGCCAGTGGGGTCGATCAGATCTTTATTCCTCAGAATAATCAGCGCTTTGCAGAAGGTCTGACAAGGACAGGGAAAACATGCAAAAACAACATTTCACTGCTGTGTGACAAGTTGTTATGCAATTGAGCAACTGTCCTGTTAAATTATACATCTTACCATTCTTAAGTCTGGCTCTAAGACTATGTGGTGACTCAATAATAACTCTATCAGCTCTTGTGGAAAAGTAGACAGCTGCTGCAGGTAGCAGTGACCAACCTGAGGGACAAGAGGAGATTTATTTACAAGTCGCTTAGAAGGCACATACAGTATGTTGATATGATCACTCCTGAGAGGCAGACAGAGAGACTGTGACCGATTTGACACAAACATAATGGATACACGTTTTTACACATAGGTTACGCTACCTGAGCGAGAAACATGACAAGGTCTGCTAACTCCTTGTTCGGTTTGTCAGGCTGCAGTTTGAAGATCTGAACATTGGACTGGTAGTGTCGGTACTGCTGCAGAAACTGTTGCAAGCACACGAACAAACACTGGTGACACATAACTGTAACGGATAATTCTCGTATGCTTACATTCACAAACAACTAGCATGCAAGCTAATAACTTAGCAATCTTAGCTAACAACACTTACCTCTTCTACGTATGACTGAGGATCTCTTTTTATAAGATTCTGCAGTTGTGGTAAGTTGTTTGGCAATTTGTTGCTTTGTCGCCCGGACATTTTTCAATATGGCCCTACGAATATATTGTGGAAAAAATAACGAAAATAATAGCTTTTTACAAGGCAAGCATGTACAGTGTGTAAGCTGCCATTTAAGTTGCCCTAACGTCACATCCGGGATAGTCATCGTCACTTCCGCTTAAATAAACTAGAGGTGTTTTTTTGTTAGTTTAAATGACCTATACCAACTACTGTAACTAGTATCTAGCCTTTTATAGTTGTAGTTTTATAGTTACCCCATTGGTCCACATTATTTTACACAGGGCCAGCTTTGTCCCTTATTGTAACTGTGTGCATATATATTTGTAATTTCTAATTCCTTTTTTGTTCATCTGATCTTATTTACTCGTTGCCTTATGGAAGAGCATTGCACATATACACACATACTGAGCGACTGTACCAGAAACAAATTCCACACCTGGCCAATAAAGCTGATTCAGATTTTCAGCATAACATGCCAACACTGCCTTGCTTTTGTGGTCAGCTACATTTCACAAGATTTCTGCTATAACTATGGTAAAATTCAATATTTATAACTAACACCATGGTGCGTTCATTGCACAATGCTGGTGAAGCTGGTGTAAGACAACCTGTCTCTGCTGGAACACTGTTTATTGCTGCAATCTTTGCAGCTAATTTATGTTTGTTCCATCAGATAGCCTAGGGGTGTGCATTTATTCAGGACAATTAAATTTAATTATTACAACAAAAAGACAGTGTAACAGTAGCACCTGTAAAATATGCAATCCAATGCAATAACCAGCCAAGTGACCATGTTAATATCAGTGAATTGCCATTACAGTATAAGGTTACTTGACAAAATAACACATTTCACTATAGCGCAGAACATCACTACAAACTATAATTCCAAAAACTCAAAGTTAGAAATTATGACATTATAAGCTTCGTTACTGTATTACTCTGCGTAACTTATATAGTGTATATATACTGATTTTAAAGTTAAAAAGCAGTGGCCTACTTTTCATTGACCCCCTCCTTCCACTCCAGTATCTAACCTTGCACAGCAGCACAGGCTGCTCTTCCCCCGGCATTTCAGTGGTTTTCTATTCAGCAAACTTGATAAAGCTGCATTAGGTTAATGTTTCTACAGATGAAGTGTGGAATGTGATGTCAACCTTTTTACACAGCATGACTGCTAACAATAAGGCTGAGCACTTTGTCATGCTAAATTGCAATATGCACTGAAATGACAAAAGACAAAGGACATTTTATTCTGTTTTTTTAAAACAAATGTTTCCTCAACATATTTAAAATGTATCCAGTTTAATTTTCAAGAAATGAATATATACACTTTTAATTTCATCATTTATCCAAGGCAGTGAGCAACTACTATATAATAGATTTACAAAGCAAATACTGACATAGTATTCTGTCAAGGAATTGTCCAGCATTAAAACAGGATTCAAAATACACAAGTAGAATTTTGTTCCACATAAAATAGAGACCACTTATAAGTTTCATAATTATTTATGAAAATCCAAAAAAACTGTGGAAAAAACCATTAGTGTTCTCTTGTAGGTGACAATAAGAATACAATCAGCAGTTCTCATAGATGCATTGTAAGGGAGTAGCAGCCAAAGAGAGAGAGAACTCTAAAAGCAATAATAAAAATATAGACTTCTTTAAATGACTTACTCTCAAGAAATGGAATATTCTAGGGCTTTGTTTTTAAAAAGTACTGTAATTTGGCAATTTCTGCCTGTGTCAACTGTTTTTGTTCTATTGTGAAACAGTCACCCAGCCTCTACACAATGGTGATGATACTTTGCGCCCGTTATCCTGAGATGTTTTCCTCTGCTTGAAGGCATCTGAGGACATAGAGGATCACTTGATAGCAGAAAATATACTGGTCCTGTAAACAGAAGGAAAAGGGTGAAAAAACCATGTGAGCCAGTGATGTAGAGTCAAAACAGTTAACAGGTAAACTATAAAAAAAACAAATCACCTCTGTCTGAACCATTCCATGTCTCTGAAGCCTCATGTTTCTAACAACATCTGAAATATCAAACTACAAAAAAAGTTAATTATATTGTAATCATCCCAAACAAAAAGAGTAAGAACAGAAAATTCCTTATTAAAAATATACAAGATAAGCACGATTAAGACTGTGATACTTACATCAGCATCTTTACTGATGAGACCCAGAACCACATCTATACAGATGAGGGTTCCCGATCGACCAATGCCTGCACTGCAGTGTGTGATTATAGGCCCTGATTGGTGAACGTGCCTCATATAGGAAATGAAAGTGAGCAGCTGCTCAGGTTGGGAGGGTGTTCCATGGTCGGGCCACCCCGTGTAGTTGAGATGAGTTACAAGCTGTACCTCATTAGTCTGAGGAGAGAAGGCAGGCAGGCATCAAAGGTTTTGTATTTGTATTTTGTATTTGATTTATTCTTTCAAACATGTAACGACAGTCAATATGTCAACACACAATTTCACACATATCCACAAATGCATTATCAATTTGCTTATACCTAGTACATGCTTGAACGGAGTAGGAAGAAGTCAGACTTATCCAGTCCTACCCCCTGACATCATCTTACCATCATTGGTTTGCAAGCAGTATCTCTACATAGATAATTTTGTTCTACACCACGCTAGTGATATACTAAAAAATATTACAGACCGTTAACATTCTTACACCACACCCACAATATTACACCTGATTAATCATTAAGCCTGTTCTTGCCCATATCTTGATTGACACATACCTTTATATTTATGTTTAAACTCATCAATTCTATTGCTATTTTTTATGTCCACACTTAAATTATTCCATAGTTTTACCCCACTTATGGAAATACAAAATCTTTTTTTGGTTGTACGTATAGCATGAATTTTTAAATTTAACTGACCCCTTAAATTGTATCCCCCTTCCCTTTCATTAAATAGTTTTTGAATTCCACCAGGTAATAAATTGCTCCTGGCTTTATACATAAACACTGCAGTCTTATATCCCACTAAATCAAAAAAGTCCACTCTACTGGACTCAACTGTTCTACTCTGTCTACTCCACTTCAGTCTACCAGTTCACTTGACTGTGCTTCAGACCACTTCAAGGATAAGCTCACTTTATTTTAATCTGCATTTCCCGTATCACCTTCTCTGTGGTACACATTCAGGGAACAAGAAGTTGTTACCGGGGCAAGGGTTTAGCCTCTGAAAGAGTTCAGAATAAATGTAATGTCAGTCAAATGGTTTGTCGTGCTTCTCTGAGTCAAAGATTAGGCTTGGGCTGCAGGCTGAGGCTACCTACCCAGGCCTAATCTTTGCTTTCCTTCTGACTCAGAGAAGCATGACATTACATTTATTCTGAACTCTCTCAGAAGCTAACCTTTTGTTTTCCTGAATGAAACCTTGCATATATCGTTAATGTAATATAGAATAATTTAGGTCCCAAGACTGAACCTTGAGGCACTCCACATACAATATCCAGATCACTCAAATGATATTCACCCAACTTCACAAATTGACGCCTCTGATGATGGTAAGTCAAATAACTTCTAATCCATTTCAGAACCATTCCTCTGAGCCCATATTTTTCTAACTTGTCCATTAATAATTCATGATTGATTGTGTCAAATGCCTTTTTTAGGTCAATAAATATTCCTATCGTGTATTTCTTCTCATCCATAGCACTTGTAATGTCCTCCATCAGGTCGGTAATGGCCAAAGTTTAAAATATCTGAGAGAAAATGAGAACTCTGTGTGCAAGTTTACCTGCACATCTTTGACCTCAATGAGTCGGATGACAAAGTGGTCCAGACACTGGTCTTTGATCAGCATGATCTGTAACCTGTCGTCCACCATCTCTGCTGTCCTTGGCGTGTCCGGCCAGTATCGCTGACATTTCACTTTACCCCCCTCGACTTCCTGGGTCATCATGGCGATCACATTGGACTTCTGCTCCCAGACCATTTGCCAAAAGTCACCCAGTGTGGTCGGTAAAGGTCCTTGACAGGCGATGTACATGAAGTACTCATCCTTCACTGGCATCTTGATGAAGTTGGCGTTGATGTAACCCCCATCTTTGCCCAGTACAACTCGAGTTGTGTCGACTAGAAAAGGTATGTACATTATAAAATGTTTTTTTTTATTATTAGATTTCAAATTATGTATCCAACTCTGAATTTAGTGAAATTAACTGAAAACCCTTCAAGTTTCCTGTGATACAAATGTGGACCAACACATTCGTTATGTTTCTTACAGGGAACAATATTCCTGTAGCGATTCTTCCTCTTGTTCTCCTGCGTCTGACCTATTAAACAGTCGTCCAGTGGCTGCAGATTCTGAAGATTCTGTCAAGGAAGAAAACAGATGCTCATTAAAAATCAAATGAATCACAATTAATTCATGAAGTACAAAAACTTCAAAGTAGATTCGCACGTCAAACTCCTGCAGCGGGACTTTCTGCTCCAGAAGCCCCCTCATCATCTGGACCACAGTGTTGAGCTTTGCTCCCGTGTACTGACCATCAGGGACCACCTTGACGAGGGGCAAGGAGGTCAGCTCATCCTCTGTGATGAGTGGCCTGTCTGGGGGAACACAGGAGCAATATTACAACCATATTCAAAACATAAAAGTAAACAAAACTTTTGTCTATCAAGAGGGAAAAAAAAAACAAACAAAAAAAAAAAACACAAACTGGTCTGCTAACTGAAATCTAGATTTTTGGATTCAAATGTCAAATCTGAAGTTCAGAGAGGCAGTTTTACCATGGCTTGATTTGGAGTTCATGTTTTCAATAGGTAGCTCATCACTTCCCCATGTGATTTCATCTTCCTCTGGCTGTCCAGCAGTCATTTGCAGATAGCTGCTGATTTGAAAACGGAAACAGTGAAGAGGTGTGAATATATTCATAATCCTAAATGTGATCGGTATATATTCAAAAAGCAAAAGCCTACCCTTCATTCCTGTGATTGTCAACACTTTCCTCTAGCCATTCCGCTTTCCGGGAACTCTAATTATGTAAAAATCATAAGCAAAACAAAACAAAAAAGAATCAGATTTAGCCAGCATATAGTTTCATAATGTCTGGTGGGTTTGATTTATACCTCAGGGGAGTCATCAGGTAAAGAAGAGCCATCACAGTCCGTGTCCTCAGAAAATTCGTCGCTGTGCTCCGTATCCCTTCTCTGCTCCAGTGGACCATCGCCATAGTCTGTGATACATGGCAATTCAGTCTAGCTTGTCAAGTTTACGACTGAATTGTTTGATTCAAAATGACGCAACAATAAAAATTGTTCTACAGAGATTTTCTAGCATGTACTGTGTATTCTACCTATTGGTGGTATGAAAGGGGGGCCCCCAGATTTCAGCTCATTGAGTGGCGTACGCAGCTTAGATTTTACTCCACTGTCCTCACTCAGATCTGAAAGCAACATGGAGCAGATTGGGTGGTGCTCAGAGAGAGATGGCGAAACTATCATCAATTTAATGCAAACACGAGTCACAGGGTCATGTTAAAATAAGTGATTTTATAGTTTAGTTTATTTACTGGTGTAAGTAATTAAAAAAAAAAAGCATTACACATAATACAGAAATAAAAATGGGATTGTGCTGGTGAAATTGGAAAACCCAAACCAACCAGTCTTAAAGGAAATCTCAGGAAAAAAGAGAAATGGAAATAAAACAATAACTAAAAGAAAAAAAATGTTTTTTTTTTAAAGAGCCGGTTAATTACTTTGTGTGGTTTTAATTATGATACCTGTATTTCCATTGCACTTGTCAGAGTTGATGGGCAGATAGCTCAGGTATGTACTGGGGGTCTGGTCTGGCGGTCTGGAGACCATAAGATGCACCAGACCTCTAGTTTTGCGGATGGTGGTGACAGCTTTGGTGTGGGACACACCTGTCATTGTTTCTTCATTCACCTACAAGAAAAAGAGTCAAAAAAACCTTTAAGAGAAAGTGCCTTGGAACATCTGGAGAAACTGAACTTAATACAAATTCATAACAAACAAAGCATACACATATAATGTTAAAAGAAACAGGTTAGCAGATTCAACATTTTGCAATATTGCTACTAATAAATGTGAAATAGGCGTGAAAAGCATAGAAAGGGTTAACAGTAAATGAGCATTTAGTAAAGCACATTTGACCTCAGACTGTCAAACAGCACTCACTTTCAGCAGCCTGTCTCCAACTTGCAGCCTGCCTGACGACTCTGCTACCCCTCCTGGTGTGATGGACTTGACAAAGATCCCCCTTTCCCCTCCAATCACAGAGAAACCCAGACCTCCAGATGGCGGCTTCTCCAGATCCAGTTTTATTATCTCCTCCTGCATTTCCAACAAATGTGCAATAATTTTTAATTCATGATTCAAAGCTAAGCAATATATCTTAGCAGCAACGAGCTTTATTACACTATTAATACAACAAGAATATTTGCCTAGTGATGTATGTCTTGATCTACCGTACATGTATTCCTCTTTCCCATTAACAACACAGCTGCTAATTGCCGTAATCCTTTGGCACAGACACACCAGCTTTTCTAGAAATTTGCTTGGCGTTATATGCAAAAACAACAAAAGATTATTTTGGTAACCAATGTAAGCTCAACCTGACCATAACCTGCTGGCGAGTTACACATTTTGGATATAATATCAATGATCTCTCTCTCAGAATAACAAGTATGAATTAAAAAACAATCAACAGGATCTACAGCATGATTATATAAATGTATTACCTCTAAAGGACAAAATCCTGCGAGAGAATCTGTATCTTGTGAATCTTCTCCTTGAAGAAACCCTTAAGACAGAAAACAAAGTTGCAGTTGTATGCAAAACAGAAGACAATCAGAATGTCACTTGTGGGACCTTTATGATTGTAAGCATACTGTACCATTTGTGCTGGATGAAACCTTGGGGCTAAAGTTGTTACTGAGAAAAGAGACATTTTGATGCGCTGGAAAAACAGGCATTCCATCCCTTTCCGCATGAAAAGAAGAAGAAAAAGAGAAAAAGATTATTGAAATTTTGCCACATAAGTGTCTAGAGCTAAAAATAACCCCTTGTCACGCAACTGAGATGTAAAATAACACAGAGTCAGTATGAAAAAAAATCCATCTAGGCTACATGTCATTCTTTGATAGTGCAGACTACCTCGTGGCCTTGAGCGCGAGGTCGGCCAGGGAGAGCTCCAGCAGTCTCATGTTCTCATTAAGAGTCAGGTCCTGGGTTGGAGCGCCATTGATGTAGTGGATTAGATCAAGTGGTCTCAAGCTGCCCTCCTTAAAGGCCAGTGAGCCTGGCAGGATGTCTCTCACATACAAAACCCCATACACACTGTCGCTACCACCGTCCAGTACCAAACCTGGGGATTGAAGGATAAGTATAATGATTTCCCTCTGACTTAAAGCACCAGATTCTAATGCACCATCTTGGAAGATTTACAGGACCAACAATGGACACTGTGTGGTTTTATCATGTGATGAGGGTTGTTTCTTACCCAGTGGCTCTTGGTTGTCCTTGAAACAAATGTCAGGCAGCAAGTAAGCGTCAATGGGGGGCTTGGGAGCCTCCAAGACCCTCCCTACCACTAAGTCAACCATCCGAGGGGCAGCACGCACAAGAGTGACCACCTCAGTGTGGCCCATATTGCTCACATCTGTGTTATTCACCTGTGGATAGAAAATAAAGGATTCAAATTATTACAGACAAAGGAATAGTTAAAACAATCTGGGAAACATGCTTTATTCTTGTACACTAAATACAGAGCTAGCAATTAGCTTAGCCTAGCTGGACAACTGCTACCTTTTTACTAATTATTATATTGTGTTTTGAAGTCTTTGTGTAGAAGGAATAAATCAAAAGCATCTCAGCTGAGGCTAAAATAAGGAATAAGGGATGAATGAACTCGTACCATAATCATTCTGTCCCCGGACCTGAGTCTTCCATCCCCTTTGGCTGGATCCTGGACGATGTCATGGATGTAACAACCTTGATCATTACCTTTGGTGAGGGTAAAGCCCAGGCTGCCTTTTTCTGACTTCATCAAGGAGACGTGCAACACTACTTCCTAACAACAAAGAAGAATCTCAATTAGAGGTATGAATAAATATATAAAATTTACAGTTCACGTTTTAGTGGAACATTTATCTAACTTTCTAAACCGAGAAGCTTCCCTTCCTCACTCCTTACCGGGACAAAGTCTTCCATGCCCTGTCCATTGCTGGACATGGTGAGGTTTAAGGGCAGAGGCAGTGGAGGGGGCAGTGGATCTGGACTTGGTGCAGAAGGAGAAGACAGTGAAAGCTGGGGGGATGAACCCAGATCCGTTGTCACCGGGGACAAAGAATGTCTGTCAGAACAACCAAAAGGCGAGATTATATGAGGGATCAAAAAATATTAACACTGATGACAAGATCATGATTGTAAAATCAAATCAAGTACCCCTTACTGATGTCTGACCTAGTCATTGACAGGTCTGGGGAATAGAAGGCGGAGTGGATGCTGCTGTTCAGTTGATCAGTGCTGTTATAGCGTCCCAGTCCCAGGTTACTACTGGGGGTCTGGTAGACACTCCTCTCCCATGATTGCCTGCTGTGCTCCAGAGAGCTCGGGCTGAAGGCTTCTTCCACCTCTTCATCGCCATCAGTACTGTCACTGTAGCTGTTGCGTCGACCAGGGGTTTTGCTCAGCAGCCTCCCCAGGGCCTCTTCCACGACGCCCTGACTCTTTTTGCCTTTTGTATCTGGAGATGAAGTTGTCGTGCCTATGTTCAGGCTGGGTTCTGTCTGGGTCACTGGCCCCTTTCTGGGTAATGGCTTGGGTGTCTGGGAAAAAGAATTACTGTGTTTTCAACAACTACTAGTACAGTAGTGAAGGCCAAAAAAAAAAAAAAACATTCTTTTACTGCCTCACTATAGCTGAAGTGTCCATCTCAGGGAGAACACCGGGTTCAGGTCTACAGAGGAGCAAAGTCACCTCCTGTCCTGTTCCTCGCAAGGCTGATATCACCTCCTATGTGTAAGTGAGGTAGGAGATGCGGATACAATTCAAATTAAATTAATGTACCAAACAACATGATTTCCACTGCTATCAAGCCATGACAGCGCACGGAGAAACATCTTACGTACATGTTGCGAGAGTCCTTTGAGGGGAGTTTGATTGACTCGCAGGATAACATCACCTACGTTGATGCGACCGCTCTCTGCAGCTGGTTGGCCGGGGAACAGCTTTTTAACCCGCACCATGCTGGAGCCAGAGGGTTCGTCAGGAATGTTCTCCTCTCGACTAAAGCTGAAACCCAGCCCTGATGTGTTCTTCAGCAGACACACGTCAAACACGTTATCTGTGAAGATAGAGACATACATCAGCAAGTTCAACAGCCAGTTAAGTGTGAAGTGTTAATGTGTTAGCCAACCTGGCATCCTATCTAGGGTGTACTCTGCCTCTTGCCCAGTAAGTGCTGGGATAGACACAAGCCCCTTTTAATCCTGTACAGGGGCTGATCAGAACAAGTTTGAGCTGATGTCAGATATTTAGTCAGTCTGGTTTCTACCAATAATTAAAATCTCATGATTGTGCAAATTTACTAACTCAGAAACATAAGTACTGGTGAGGATTCCTTAACTGTGTACCGTGCTCCTGCCTCACCTTGTGTGACAAAGCTGTACTCTGGCTTTTCTTTGGCCTCATGTGCTTGTTCTTTGTTCTTGGTCTGGTCTCGGTTGCTGCCAGCAGATGGTGGAGTGATCTGAGGTGTTACCGGAGCATGCACGCTGTCTAAAGGCAGCTGACCCTTCTCCAGCAACAAGTGCACTGTCTGAGGCGCAAAGGGAATGACTTAATTAGTGTTAGGTGGCCAGCTGAACGGCTTATCAGCAGGGAGCTCAGAGTAAATGCCATCCCTCACCTGCCCAGTGTCTCTGAGAGCCTCTACCGCTTGCTCATGAGTGGCTCCCTCCAGACTTCTTCCATTGACAGCAACCACACGATCACCTGTGCTCAGGACAGACACAGTTAGGGTTAAGACACACAGAGTCTAAACAGACAAAAGCTATACCTCATTCTAATTTCAGTGTATAACTTTGCCTTTGTGTATTACATCGTTTGAAAGAGCAGTGTTAAGAATTTTACCTTTCTGTATCCTTCCATCGAGCTCCGCTGCTCCTCCTGGTATGATGGTTTTGACATAGATGCCTCCATGTTTGACAGTCGTGTTGACTCCCCCCTAAGGAATCAACATAAAACCGTTTGTCATGTATTTTGTTTGGGAGTTGATAAGAGGTTTGGAAAGTTTTTCCCATTTGCAATATGATAAATGCTTTGACTTTATCAAACAAACTTCACAAGAGAAGTATTTGAAATCTTTGACATCTTTAACTGAAGTTAATTCTTTATTGTCTTGTTGTGTCCCCATCAGAGCTTTCATATTTAAATAGTGCTTTGGTTGAAATAATTAAATTCTGCTAAATGTAACATTTAAACAAAACATTTATCATTTCACAGTTGTAATTTAGTTAAATAAATTTAATTTAGTAACAAACAAACAAAAAAATCCTCCACTGTAACGTTATTGATGACATTAGTGAGGGGGTTAAATCTCAATGGTCATACATTTCTACTCGGTGACCATTAGTCATGATAGCCTTGACAATGGGTTTAGTGCTAAGGTGAATTTCAAGGTTATTTCTGTGTTTGTATTACTAATGAAACACACAACTCAATCAGCTGAACACAAAACTGACAGCAAACCTATTCTGAAGACACATAGCCAAGTAAATTGTTACTGAAATGAACCAATATTAATCAATAAAGTGGTGAAAATCCCTTAAAGAGAAATCAAATTAGTGTCAGGAGTGACCTATTGTACATATGTTATTTGTCTGTCACACACACACACTCCTGCAAACAGAAGTATATAAAATGTATTCACACACTGTTGGAGTGAGATGAAATACACAAGGATTAAAGGCACCCAACACCACAAAGTCACATCACAAAATGCCAAAACAGTCAAAAGTGCATTCATCAGTCTACATGAATTAAATCGATCGTTTCATGTATTTGTTTTATACAGTGTGGCTCCGATGGCATTAGTACCCCTGCAGAGGCAGATCATGAGGAATTGTTTAGTGTTAGGCTGTACCGGAGATCTTTGAGTTCTGAAAATCATTTTCGAGCTGAGGTTAACAATTGTTTAGGTCCTTTTGATGAAGGAAAGCAAAGCAACAAATTACTGAAAAAGTCTAGTTTGTGTTGGCCGCTACAAAGTATTAACTTAAGGGGGCTGAATAATTTTGCACGCCCAGTTTTTCAGTTTTTTATTTGTTAAAAACGTTTGAAATATCCAATAAATTTCGTTCCACTTCATGATTGTGTCCCACTTGTTGTTGATTCTTCACAAAAAATTACAGTTTTATATCTTTATGTTTGAAGCCTGAAATGTGGCAAAAGGTCGCAAAGTTCAAGGGGGCCGAATACTTTCGCAAGGCACTGTAGGTAGCCATAAGAAAGCTCACTGCAGCCCTGCTTAAAAGGTTTGGCTTAACTGTGAATACTGTAAAAATACAGTGCGACTATTTTTTTTATACTTAATGATTAAAAACAAAAAAGATAGCATGCAAAAACAGTTAAGTGGACAATATATCCACTAGGACTTCCAGCTGTGACAATGCAGAGCATTACGAAAGCAAACCAAACCAAGCACCCTAGAAACACACACAGACAAGGGGAAAAGGGGGCAAATCAAAGAGGATGGAAACCTTGCCGAACAGTACCGTGACACTTATGCCCAGGCCGCTGTCTTTTTTGGACAGCTCAATGTCAAATAGTTCTCCTGGACGGAGACTATTGACCCCTGGGGCATTACCATTTAAATTTTCCATGTTGTATTCCTGCAAACAGAGAACAGGGTATTAAGTTGAATTATCAGAAGCTGGAACATGCAGAAAGAAAAAGGGATCAAGGAAGAGTGAGGTAGAAACTGGCAGATAACAGATTCAAAGAACATGCAGCATACAAGTAATAAACTGCCTTGCATTGACAATGTAAATGCAATGACAACATAAATTAAATACAACAGGCAATTAGTTGTGCCAAGCATCTGACATGTCATATGTCATGCTTGTCTGTGGAAGAAACATTTACGTCATGTGCCATTAAGAGAAGTTATATTTGCTCCAGAATTTTTGATGTATTGATTTCCTGAGTAGACAAAGACTATGTTGGACGATGCATGGAAGCAATGAATGAACTTACGCCAATGAATTCATAAACGAAAAGGCCACACCTTTTTGACTTTGAGTTTCTCTTGACTACTGGAATATGTCTCCACATCCATGTCTGAATCCAACCGGTCTAAATGCTCAGAAACTTTGGGAGCTTCTGACAATTTAACTCTTCTAGTTTTGGGCGGTAGAGCTGGTGGTGTAGGATCCAAACCCGTGTTAGGTTCTGTTCTCTGACGCGGGACAATGGAAGCTGCAGAGGCAACAGCCGTAGCTCTTTCAAGGCACTGATGAACTCCATTAGCAGGGGGTTGGCTGATTTTGGCAATGTTGGTACTCCTAGAGCCCTGAGGGCTGAGGCTGGTGTGCTGGTGGACTGGGGAAGAGGTGGAGGATGATGGGCTAGCACTGTGGAGAGGAGGGCTGGTGCTTCCTGTTCCTGCATGCTCCTCTGATGAGGTATCCAATTCTAGTTCACGTCTCTGGGCTGAGTTAAGCGACTTTGCTGGGTAGGGAATATAGCCTGAAGACCAATGTCAAAACAAGGAATAAGAACACTCATATTAGTCAACAAGTGTAGAAGTAGGAGGAAACACTAATAATAAACTCTATATATGATGCAGAGGAATAAGTATGATAAGGAACAAAAACAAATAACATGAATTTCACACAAAGCATTAACAAATAACATTCATATCTCTGCTTTTACCTTTGTGAAGCCTCTCTTTGGGCTGCGACACCACCAGAGTCACATCATCAGGAGTATTCTGAAGGATATCAACAGTGGCGGCATGAGGGAGCCCTTCCAGGTTTACATCATTCACTGAGATAAGCCGGTCACCTGCATCAATACCACAGACAGACAACTGGGTGTTGCCATGACAGAAAACTGAAATGGAGTTCAGCACAACCATTATCAAAGCAAACAAAATACACCATAAGCTACCCATTTAAGAGGAACAGGGTGGCACAAAATAGGGGCCTACCAGGTTTGAGACAGCCGTTGACATCAGCAGGACCTCCGGGAGTGATGGAGCTAATGATGGTACCAAGATCCATACGGCCAGAGTTCTCCCCTCCTACAACCTGGAACCCTAGAGAACACATGTAAACACATAATTCAAACCCAAAACGTCTGGGGAACACAAGTGGCTTAGACCCAGTTTATAATATCTGTCAACTCTGGCAGCTGAGATGTGGCAGAAGTTGAAATTCAGCTCTTATTTTAGGAAACTGCTCTTACCCAGGCCATATTTCACATCTTTCTTCAGGTTTACAGTTGTGATTTCTCTCTCCGGAGACAGTAAGGCATTGAGCTTTTTCTTGAACGAATCTGTGCAGCACAAAGACATTTCAGATTTTTAATGAGCAATACTGAAAGTTCGCCACATTATCACTTTCATTTCTGACAGGTGCATATATATCATAGTGTAATTTTGGCAAATTAATTTGAAAGGTGATAAGCATCATCACTATATCTACACTGCAACTATTAATCAGCCCCAGCAGGGATACAGTGTGGCTGGCAGGCCCCTTACTTACTATTGACTAATGGGTCTGAAAAGATGGGCTGGGCCAGAATGAAAGGAAAGATCATGAGTTCAGTGTCAAGTAAGAAGCTATTAAACACTGGGACCAGGGCCAACATTAGGTTCTACAGGCTGGCAGCACCTTTTGACACCTACCATTAATAGAGGTTGGGGATGAAGGCGGGCCAGAGGAGCTGTGCATACTGACTCCTGCAACAAATCCACAAGAGATCAGAACGGCTCGGCTTTAAGAATTGTGCACCGTGCAGAACCAATGACAACTGTACGGCTGTCAATTTGCAGGCAAGAAAAAGTAATGCCATTGTTTGCAATTTCCTGGTTTTCTGCATAAATTGGTCATGAAATGTGATCTGATCTTCACTGAAGTCACAAATAAAACAGAGACAATATTTCTAAGCTGACAAAACACAAACAGTGATGATCTTTCCTGTCCTTATTGAACACACCCATTAAACATACAAGGTGATGGTGGCAAAAGTAATGGTATCTTTCTGCTCACCTTCCAAACTTACCACATTTGACTATACCTTAGCATCATACTCGCTCTGCTTTTGTTTGCAACTCTGCACCACTACTGTGACGCTCTGCAAGTGAACAGCAGCATCCTACACAGGTCAGCATCCTTACCTACTACATATGCGTGGTCAGTATCCTCTATGGAGGAAGAGTCTGATTCCTTTTTGGACTGGCTAATGCTCCAGGATGTGCTGCTGTGGGACATTGTACCCAGTGACCTGAGAGGAAGAAAATAAGTGAGGAAGACTTTAGCTAGGGAGGAAACCTTCCTCAGTGATGGGGGCAGGGTAACTAAAAGCAGATCAAATGCAAAAAAGGTACAGTATGTTCTGCAACAAAAGCTCTTTCATTCTGATTCTTAAAAATGTTCAGGCTTAGGTTTTTACATGTAGAGCCCTATGCAACTTAAAATCATGTATTTTGTAAAGCTGACACAAGAGGGAGCAACTGACACAAAAACATGTTCATTACTAATAACTACACTGATGTGGCACTAGTGTAGAAACACAAACACAGACACTCGGGGGCATGTGCACCCTCACGCACAGACCTCCAGAGAGTTAATTAGAGGCTGGAGGTAGAACTCTCTGTGTATTGTCTCTGTAGTGTTAGGCAGAGCTATACTCCGAGTAACAAGTCCTCACTTAGTAACCTCAGCCTGTCCTGCGGTGAGCACGGAGACTAACGCTGGAGAACTTAAGAGGGACATAAGTGCAAGACCCCAATGCCCCTGCCAAGCTGGAAAAAGATTTTAAACAACTGATTAATGGAGTAAAAATGCATGCATGTATTGTAGTGTCCACAGTTTGGTGGACGGCAAAGTAAAGAAATAATACCTGCTACTGTCACACATACAAGAAAATCTGTTTGCATTGAACATTTCACTTTTCTCAACTCACCTGTCCTGTTGGCGTGCCAGGGAGTCTGTGTCCGAGCTGGCTCGCTGGTGCTGCTGGAAGTGGGAAGCCCCTTGATTGGGCTGTGGCTGACCCAGTCTGCTGTGCAACTGGCCATGATATGGCTTTGCCATTCGGTACTCTGGAGACTCTGGCATCTGTTCAAGGTTTTGATGGGAGCGGCTCATTATCCGTGGATTGGAAAGGACCGTGGAGGCCACTGGATTGAAACCTGGAAAGTGAAGGTCATCTTGGACTAATATTGGGCCAGATGGTGCCTTGCTGAGCGCTGCCTCTGAGTAGGAGATCCTCTTCAGGTGTTCTGGGTTAGAGCGTGTTGATAAACTGGCCAGGCTACCTGGCCTCCCCATGGAGTCCACACTCCGAGGGTCAAGAGAATACTGCAAATTGCTCAAGGGGGAGTTCTCTGATCAGAAAGAACATGGAAAATAAAACAACGAAATTGTTAGTAATAACAAATATGGCATTTTTGTTTGTTAATATGGTGAATGAACGAGAAAACGTTTTAAAAAATGAAGCAGGAAAATTCCAGAGAGCTGTTGTCAGTAACAATCAGCAGTTTGAAGTAATTACTGTCTCTATGGAAAAATTGGTCCTGTCCACTGGTAAGTACATCTTTACTTTCTGGAGTCAACATAATGGCCTGGCCAGTCTTTTTGGCACTCATCAACTTAATAACCAAGCTTTGACTTTATGTCAGCGATCTGGTGGGACTTCGAGCCACGATCTAGACCAAGCAGATCTGCTGTTCAGCCAAGTAAAACAAATCAAACAGAGCAATACACCACAAAAAAAATGAACCAACAGTTAAATATCACTCATGTTTCTTTGGCACAGTACAAAAAGAATAGATGTGCAGAATCAAAAACAAAACACTGAAAAATCTGAAAGCCTTTAAGGTTTCCAAATTTTACATATAGTACATTATCAAAAAGTTATTTTTGTAAGTGAAAAATAAATTCTTAGAGAAGGAAAGGGGTGGACAATGGTTTTCACTGGGAGACTGTGTGGGATGACATGCAGCTGTTGCTAAAAACAGCGCGATTAGTGTCGACATCAAGTTTGTTGGACACTGATGTGTCAAGTTTAGGTCTACTGTGTTTAGGTCTACTACATTTTAACATTTCTCTTAGCAACTGTAAATGCAAACATTTCGCTGACCAGATATTCATATCTTGTCTGAGGTCATATTTTGTCAGGTCCACCCGCACAGCCACGGTGGCTGCTCTCCTACCTAGGTCCTGCAGCTCCTGGCTGTTCTGTCGGGCCTTCGTCTGCAAGTGGAACTTGTGCTGATCGGAGCACAGCTGGAGCAGATACTGACACGTCTTGCTGTCTGCCTGAAACTGATGCTTAATCCCATCTGATGTGTTCTGAAGGCAAATCTTCTTTTTCTTTAGGATGACAAGTTAAACATTTCAATGAAAGTGAAGACCACCTAAGCTAATTTACAACGAACAGACTTCATTTACTGTAGAGCGGTTGAAATCTATTTCAGATAATAAAGAGTCAACTACATACTGTAAAGGAAATCTTCTTTGTCTCCCTCCAAGGGAACCTTAGCACCGCGGTTCGAATTCCATTAAGGACCTCAAAGATCAGCACCCCTTTGGAGCAAACACCAAGCAAGATGCCCGTCTGGGACCTCTTCTCAGGAAGCACTCGATGGAAATGGACTCCATACTCTGTCAGCCTCTGGCTCACCTTGAGGACAAACAAGACAGGGAGTCTTAAACTCACAAAATACCACAATACTGAGATGGAGGGTAGAGATATGAATGTCTACCGAGACA